ATAAAAAATTTAAAATAATAAATAAATAAAAGCTAAACTTTGGAACATTAAAAGACACAACAACAGCAACAAAAACAAAAGTGAGAGTTATGTATTGCTGGTGGGAATGTAAATTGGCATAACTTCTCTGGATAGCCACATATCTCAAGAGTCTAAAATAATCATGCCCTTGCCCAGTAATCTCTCACTCCTGGCAACTGCATCTAAGAAAACAATCAAAAAAGCTTATAAAAATTATGGATAAGCAGAATCATCTTAAATTTATGTTGTGGTAAAAATTAGAACCTACATGTGTAAATAAATTATTAAACACCTGTACAATGAAGTAATATGTAAACATTTCATTTATGTTTTAGAAGTATATTTAATGCTAGGGAAGATATTCAAGTGTATTAAGTAATAAAGGCAGCTTGCAAAACAGTACTTACGGTTCCAACTATGTTAAACAAACAAACAAATATACATAGAAGAAAGAGGCCTGGAAGGATAGACACCAAAATGCTGAGTGATTATCTCTGAATAGTGCAGTTATAGGTGGCTTTTGTCTTCTTTATAATCGCTGTATACTTCAACTATTCTGCAAAGCACAGAAAAAGAATAATAAACGTGAATGGAGAAAGACAAAAAGAAAAAGTAAAGGCGTCAGCCTCAGAATTCTGGTGGCCACTGGTAGTAAAAATAGAAAATATTTTCAACCTATTTACATCATATAAATATAAAAATATTTAAATAAAAAATAACATCCATACTTCCAACCGAGATGGATAATAGACTTGGAAATTTCCATCTACAATCACAGTAATCTGGTCACTGCACAACTGCCAGGCCTTTCACATACGCCCGGATGAGAACTACATGCACATGTTCTGGGGGTGCACTATTTTCTATTTGGCTTCAAGTTCAGTGTTTGGCCAAATTCTGCTGTTCAGCTGTGGTGTTCAGCCTTGGCCACTGCAAAGTGGAATAGTTGAATGCTTACTCAATGCCATTTCTGGCATCCTTAAACTTGTACATGAGTAAGACTGTGCTGTTGGGTAGATTTCCATCATATCCCATCAGTGCATCAATCTTCAGTAACGTAAACATGGCATGTCATGGACCTAGAGACTGTCCTACAGAGTGAAGTAAGTCAGAAGGAGAAAAACAAATATTGTATACTATCGCTTATATGTGGAATCTAGAAAAATGGTACACATGAACTTATTTGCAAAGCAGAAATAGAGTCACAGATGTAGAGAAAAAACTCACAGTTACCAAGGGGGGAAGGGGGGGATGGGACCAACTGAGAGATTGGGATTGACATATATACACTACTATGTATAAAATAGATAACTAATGAGAACCTACTGTATAACACAGGGAACTCTACTCACTGCTCTGTGGTGACCTAAATGGGAAGGAAACCTAAAAAAAGTGGATATATGTATAGGTATAACTGATTCACTTTGCTGTACAGCAGAAACTAATACAACATTGTAAAGCAACTGTACTACAATAAAACGTAATTTAAAAAGAACATGGCATATCAGTCATTGTTAGTATATGAATATCTGCTCTCAAGTTTAAATATTTGAAATTCCAGATGTAACTAGAAGTGCAAAATCCGATGATGTGCTTTATATGTGGAAATGCTAACAATTGAGGTATATATGAATGTATTTTTAATATTGCAAAAGTAAAATGCTACAATAATTATTGAGGATTATGAAAGGTGCTGATTTTATGTAATAAATGAGAACTTTCAGATAGTAAATATTAAGTTAATGTGAATATTGAGAGAATGTCATCCAGATAACTTAAAAAAAACAATATATCCTTTTTGAACCTACAGATGTTCATAAAAATATAAATATGACCACAGGGCAAAACTAACAAAGATTAGATTGTATCACAATTCTAATTACTGTAGAATTATTTGGTGCAATTGCATTCATAACACTAAGTAATCTTTAGAAACTAATGTTTAATTAAATTCCATTTGGTCTGTTAATCCTAAAAAAGAAAAAGCCCTATTTGGTAATTTTTCACATATTAGGAGGGTAAAATTAAATGCAGAATGTCAACATGGCTACCTCAAAGTTTCACAAGGACAAAAAAAGTCATGTACAAGACATATATGATGAATCATCTTTGATTGAGACATGATTAAAAATAGACAGGGAGCCTGGAAAAAAAGGAGAAAGGAGATAAAATGAGACACCCAAAATACATTTCTTCTCTCTAAACAACGGACTTTACAAGAATGCTTTTAATTAGACAATGCCTTGTGGTTTGGGATCTGTGAAGGGTAATATTTTTTAAAGCTTGTAGAAATAATTACTGTAGACTGATAACCATTTTAAGCTGTTGAAGAGAAAGGATTTTTTAGATTTGCCCAAGCTATGAATTCTAAATATTGATTTATTTTAGAAAACATTCCTAAAAACTTTTTCCTGATTTATATTTTGTTGTACACAAAAAGGTTATTGAAATTATGAAATATGCTACCACAGTACGTATATGGTATATGTGACATTTGGACATGAAGAATCAACCTTAATTTTTTTAGGTTTGACAACATAGAGGATTAATGATTAATTCAACTATGTTTCCTCTTTCCTTACTTGATGAACGATTCCCGGGTCTCACACACGTAGTGAATTTGACTTTGAGAAACATTTATGGAATGTAAAATCTGTAAAGAGAAATGCACAAAATTATTGACTACAGAACAAATATGGTAAAGGCTATGGGTACAAGCATATAATTTGTTTACTCCCTTCAGTTCTATATTCAGAAAATGGTTATAGCTTTAAAAGATGTAATAGAAAATGAGTGGCTTCAAGCAGAAAGATTGTAGACTACTTCCACAATTTTTCTTCAACCAATAACAAATTTTGTTAAACAAGAACCTTTGAAATTGTCTTGTCGTGTACATATGCAAAATATTTAAACAAGATAGAACAACAGCTATTACATCCGTCAAAGGCTTCTAGAATAAAGAAGGCCTTAATTCTGTATTTTCCAGAGAACGTTACCAACGTAGCAAGACTTACTAATAACCAATGGTGATTTGCATGGAAAGCAGTTTGTTTGCTGGAACTTGCTGAATAAATTGATGTGCCTTAAGAATGCAAGTATTTCCTACATCATTGCTGCTGAAAAAAGATTTCCTTTTGATTCTACTCTAAGGAAGATGCTGAAATTGACGTGCATACAAGGAAAGCCAAGATGCAGATGGAAACTTCAATTATTTTCTTAACTTGAAAACCAGTTAAATTGCTCCATTGTCCCATTTCTAGATCCAAAGTTTAAGAAAAAATTTTTCTCCAGTGAGTATGTATAGTGGCAAGAACAGGCTAAAATACTAGAAATTAGAAATTAGGGACTTCCCTGGTGGCGCAGTGGTTAAGAATCCGCCTGCCAATGCAGGCGACACGGGTTCGTGCTCTGGTCTGGGAAGATCCCACATGCCACGGAGCAACTAAGCCTGTGCACCACAGTTAATGGAGCCCCGTGCTCCGCAACAAGAGAAGCCACCACAATGAGAAGCCCACGTACTGCAGGGAAGAGTAGCCCCCTCTCGCAGCAACTAGAGAAAGCCCATGCACAGCAACGAAGACCCAATGCAGCCAAAAATTAAAAATAAAATAAAGTAAAAAGATATTAAAAAAAGGAATTAGAAATTAAAAATATGAGGATGGCCATCTTAAATCTGCTTCTGAAAATATGTATTTTCTTGAAACAGTGCACAAAACTTCAGTCAGCAAAATTGCTTCGATGAAATGCTATCACCATCCCCCCAAATTTTCAAGGCTAAGAATTAAAAAAGAGAAAATCTTTACCTTAATAAGCTCCTATTAGAAGAAAGAATATTTAATGGTAATGTTACCATATTATACTGGCAGAACTAGACCTATGCCCCAAGAAGCTCAGTTGAAAGTATCTTATTTAGTAATACAATTGTTTCTATTTAATGGTCATAGGAGTGTCCAGCAGTTGCTGTTCTTGCCTTGTAAGTTCAAACTTTAAATTTTTTAAAGTTTTAATTACTACATTTTTAATAATAAAATTACAAAAATGAATTTCCTTTCCAAGAAAATTCAGATTTCCCCCCTCTCTTCTAGAAGTTCATTCGATTATGGTGATATTCTGATTCAGAGAATAGCAATTTTTTAAACAACTTTATTGGAGTATAATTGCTTTACAATGACAATTTTTTACCATCATTCACCATTTGACCAAAATATATATTAATTTGAGGTAGACCTCAAATTACATACTGCAGGTGTAGCTACAGTGTAAAAATAGCTTAGTAGGCTCAAGAGCAGGCCCAACAGGACGGTTCTCATACTTTTGTGATTTATAGCTTCTTTAACTGTTATGGGCATTGACGATTCATTTGCTGAAATACAGGTTTGGGAGGACTTTGGGTCACGTTCAGCCTGTTTGAAAGGAGGGCCTTGCTGGAAACTCAGGGTTATGTGGTTGTCTTACTGTAACATACGCTCTGTCAGCCTTAGATACACAACCTCCGTAGATAGCACTTGGTTCTTTGCTGTCCGTTAGCACAGACCCAGCAAACCCCAGCTTCAATAATCCGAGATATAAGGACGACTGTAGTTTTGGTCCTAACACCGGCCACGTGGGATGTGAACCGCTTCCCCTTGGGAGCCACATTTGCAATTTCTGCAAGTGACGAACGTCGTCTTCATCACATATCTGTGCCTCATGGTCTCTGATTCTAACCCACTGTCACCCTACGCCCTGTCCGGCACCTGGACCTCGCACTCCGCCCATTTCCACCTTCCTGCATCGGGCCGCCCTCCCCCTGGCGCCTCCCTTCAGACGGGGCCTGCTGATTGGGCCTCCAGAAAGAAAAACACTTCCCAGAATGAGCCCTGGTTTGTGGCTGGGCCCTAAGCACCAATCTGTTGAGCACTCTCGGGGTTTGTGAGAAAACAAGACCCACTTAGTTCCGTAGAACAAACCGTTCGCGAGCGGAGCCGAGCGAAGCCCGACCAGCCGGTGGGGCGCTAGTGGCCGCCGGGGCCGGCAGGGGGCGCGCTGCCGCGGCGGGCGGGCGGCGCGTCTAGGCCCGAGCGGTCCCTGGGGTGCGCTCGGTGCCCACAAAGCGCCAGCTGAGGGGCCGCTGCGGGCTGAGCGCGGCTGAGCCTGCCCGCCACCCGAGCTCCACCGGCCGGCCGTCCCGCGCCTCTGCCGCGTCCCCGCGCCCCGAGCAGCCGGGCCCGACGGCAGTGCGAGAGCCGGGTCGGGAAGGAAGGGCCGGGCGGGTGCCGCCTACGGAGAGGCCGGGGGTCGGCCTGCGTGGGGCAGCGCGGAGGCGGCGGCAGCGGCGGCGACTCCGGCCCCGGCCGGACAGCGCAGGACCATGGCCGAGGCAGCCCCGGCTCCGGTAAGGGCGGCCTGCGCGCCGAGCTCAGTGAGCCCGGGAGGGTCGGGGCGCCTCGGGCTCTGTGGTCGGACCCGAGGGAAGGGAGGAGGGCAGGGAGCCCGGCCTGTCAGGCTCGGGGGCCCCGGAGCGGGGCGCAGCCCGGACGGCCGAGCACAGACACTCACCGGGGTCCCGCCGGCAGGGGAGGGGCCTGGGGGGGACCCCGACGCCGAGCGCGGGTCTGGGACAGCTCGCCCTCCCCCATCGTTGGGTCCCTGCGCCTGGGTGTGAGGCCCCGGCTCGCCCATCCCGTTTGGAGGTTTCCAGCGGAGAGAGCCTCTTACACCAATGGAAGAGGAATGAGTGAAGCGATCCTCGCCTGGTGCCAGCCCCGCTCCTGCCTGCCGGACGCGGGGCAGTGGAGTTGGCTTGGTTTGGGGTTTTCATCTGCCATTCTCCAGCCCTGGGAGCCGACCCCACAGTCACCCTCGCTGCCGCCTCCGTGAGCCTCGCGCAGCCACAGATGCCGTGGTGACGGCAACACTTAGGTGTGTTGAAGGACCGCCGGAGGACAGGGATCCCCAGTGCCCAGCCCGTGACGATGCCGGACACGCAGGAGGCCCTCCGTCGGGATTGCAGAGTGAACTAGCGGTGCAGGTTCGGAGGGCGGGATTACCTTCTGCGTGTTTTATTCGTTACGCAGATGTTCACTGCAGGCCTGCCGCGTGCCAAGCCCGCTCCGTCAGTTGCTAAGCCTGCAGAGCTGACCAAGACAGTCGCTGCACACAAGAGCCGTGCAGAACCAGCAGGGACTAGTCAAGTGACAGGACCGGAAACGATGCCTTGGATTTGCCAGCTAAGAAGCCTCTGCTCACCCCAAAGAAAGTCATTGTAGTGGATCAGGAGCCAGACTGGCCTACAGAGTAGTGACCCGAAAGTGAGAGGGGGGAAGAAGAGGAGGAAAAAGGGAGCAGCAGCAGTGGGGGTGGGGGATCGAGCAGAAGGAATGTCATCTGTGCCCTCAGACCTATTTTTCCCTTTTGGATCTTGTTTTTCAATATGGTAGAGATGATCATGTGTCTATATGCCGGCCCTGTCCAATAGAAACATAATAGAAGCCACGTATATAACCTTAAACTTTCTAGCAGTCACATTTTATTTTTATTTATTTATTTGTTTACTTATTTATTTATTTATTTATTTATTTATTTATTTATTTATTTATTTATGCCCAGTGGCCTGCTGAGCCCTCGGCAGTGAAAGGGGGGAGTCCTAACCACTGGATGCTGGGGAATTCCCAGTAGTCACATTTTAGAAGTAAAGAGAAATAGATGAAATGAACTTTAATGATATGTTCTATTTAACCCAAGGCTTACAAAATATTTCAGTGTGTGATTAGTATTAAGAAATTATCGATGAAGTTTTACATTTTCTCCCCATACTCAGTCTTCAAAATCTGGTGTGTATTTTTTACTCACGGCACATCTCAATGGAAATAAATGCATCTCAACTGTTCAGTAGCCACGTGTGGCTACCATATTGAACGGTGCAGGTCTGTCCCATGGAGAAGACCCCGGAGAGATTGAAACATTGACCATAAACAAGAGAAAAGATTCGTGTACCTAAAAATGTGGAAGGAGGTGGCATTCAGAGCATTAAGTGGAGAGATTCGTTTTAAATAGGATGAACCTTTTTCCTGAGGGAAGGAAAGAAGAAAGCATGGACTAAGCAAGCTACTGATGAGTTTGAAGTGGGAAGGAGGGTGAAGAAAAAGAAGAGAAAGAGGAGAACGTTGAGAGAGTTGAGGTCTAATAATTCTAACCCTCTTCTCAAAGTAGGAGGCCGCGTCATCTCCTGAGAGTGAGGGGCCTGCAGCGGACAGGAGTCTTCCCGCTCAGCCTGCGCTCCCTGAAGCAGCAACAGCAACATCACCTTGTTTTCAATGCAAACTCCCAGTTTTCCTACTCGACCTACTGAAGCAGAGTCTTGCATTTTAGCAGGGCCTCCAGATGATGCTTAGGCTCATCGGTTTGAGAAGCGCTGTACTAAAAGCTGGAGAGGGCCAGGGGCTTGTGGTGGCCACGCTGTGGAATGGGAAGCGGAGTGTGGGGCACAGGGCAGTGCTGAGTCCCTGCTGAGCTTAGAGACCGTGGGTGTGTGGTGACACCAGTTTACCTGGTTGTGTGACTTCATTTCGTAGGGCTTACCAGCCTGCTTCCAGGAACAGAGAAAGAACAATTGAACTGATTCAAAGCCGGAGGTTAGCCGAGCAGGTGAGGCAGAAAGGCAGACGAGTGAAGGGGTTGAAGTTAGCTGAAATGATCACCTAAGGAAGAAAGCAAAGCCCGGAGCAGGCCGGTAAACCAGGAGCAAATGGAACAGTCAAGGGTTCAGTGGGATCGCAGAGCAGGTGAAAGGAGAAAAAGGTGGTGGGAGAGCTGCAGAGACCGGAGGTTACGGCCAAAGAGCCGGTTATCAAACTCGTAGAGTCAGAAGGCTTTGCAGAGGTCATCCTCATCCAACCTCCCGTTTCTTGTAGGAGTTTCATTTTCTATACACTCTTTGTTCCAAGGTATGTTCAGTGAGGAGGCAGCCTGTTATGTTCTTGGAAAGGTCTAGTTCAAATAGGCCAGAGTTTACGTTCCTGAAAATTTCATGTTGGTTCTAGTTCTGCCCTCTGGAGTAACACAGTATAGGAGTAAACAAGTCTGTCCTGCCTTCTGTTTTATAACCCTCAAATATTTGAAAATAGCTGTCATGCTTTCTCCACACTCAACATTCTCAGCTTATTCAGCTGCTCCTGAATGATATGGTTGTGGCTTGTCAGCAGGGTGATGGATGGGGCCGGAGCCTAAGTCAATAAATAAGGGGTTTATCAGAAGGGCACCGAGCTCACTGAAACCTGGAAAGATCCTGATGCACTTAGAGCTTTTCCAGAGACAGAGGATGCAGCAGCAACCTGGCCTCTGGGTGAGTGGCTCTGTGCCAGGCTGCTTCTTGATCCAGTTTCACCTGTTCACTGTCTTACCTACTCCATCCCTCAACCACCAAAGCAATTCTCTTGGCTTTTGATGTCAATGAGCTCCATAAAGATGAGGCTTATGCAGGCACTACTAATACTATATTTAGATTAATCTCCGCTGGCCACTCAAGCAGCGCTTATCTCATTTTAGTTCGGATTAGGGCTCCTTCTAACACTCAATGTCTCATCTCCTCTTTCCACTGCACACAGACTCCTGAATGGGACTCCGAATGCCTTACATCCCTGCAGGCGCTTCCTCTTCCCACACCCCCAGCAGCAAATGAAGCACACCTGCAGACTGCGGCCATCTCCTTGTGGACAGTAGTGGCGGCCGTGCAGGCTATCGAGAGAAAGGTGGAGGTCCATAGCCGGCGACTCCTGCACCTGGAAGGACGGACAGGGACAGCCGAAAAGAAGCTGGCCAGCTGCGAAAAGACAGTGGCTGATCTCGGGAACCAGCTGGAGGGCAAGTGGGCGGTGCTGGGGACCCTGCTGCAGGAGTACGGGCTGCTGCAGAGGCGGCTGGAGAACTTGGAGAACCTGCTGAGGAACAGGAACTTCTGGATCCTGCGGCTGCCCCCCGGTATTAAAGGAGATATCCCAAAGGTAATACCTCCACTTCTGCGTGCACAGTGCTACCACTAGACCTTAGACTATTAGCAAGGGGTAGTCTTGGTCAATCAGTTTGGCTGAAGGAACCAAGAAGTTGTTTTGTGTTTTATCTATTTTGGAAGCATTCCACGTTCAATTTAGTGATCATGTGAAGTGTCAGACTTCAGATTGGAAAACTCTTCCCAATCCAAAGTTGGCTATCCGGCAGATGGATTTTTTTCTCTTTTGCCCATTACCCCACAAGTCACTTTCTTCTTTATTAACCTGTCTGCTACAGTCTTGGTTGGAAACAAAAGTAAATATTATTTAAATCAGTCAATTTGAATTTGTTGGCAATTCTGGTAAAAAAAAAAAAAAGTTAGAGGAGGACAGAGGAAGGGATGTGGAGTTAAGTGGTTAATATAAGGTTTGGGGCTGTCTGTGGGTCTAGGATCCACATGGATCCTGTCCTTCCGCATCCTTTACAGAGTGCGCCACAGTGCTAGGGCCCGGCCTTTCTGAAGGGAATAGTCCCTAAAACAACAGGAAATAAACATCATTCTTGAGCTGTGGAAGACAGCCTTGAGGCAGCTAGTTTCCAAACATGCCCGTTTATTTATTCATTCATTCATTCAACAGATACTTCTTGAACACTTAGTATTTGCTTGATATCTACTTCCTGAAGGCACAGCAGTGAACAATTCTTGTAAGCTCCCCTGGAGCTTAAATTTTAGGGGGAAAGATAATATAAACAAACAAAATAAACCCATTTAAGTACTTTGATAAAAATAAAAGTGCTATCTGGTGATTTATTTTTTAGATTGGATGTCACAGAAGGTCTCATAAAGTAGCTAATTTTTAGGCTGAGACTAAATGACAGGAAGGAACCTACTGGGAGAAGATCTGAGGAAGAGCTTCCCAGGTGTAAAGAACACCTGGTGCAATGTCCCAAAGGCACAAACAACCTTGAAACACTGAGGGGAAGGAAAAAGACCAGTTGGCTGGTGTGCAGTGAGTAAGTGGAGCACGGCTAGAGAAGCAGGGGGCAGCTCATTTAGGGCAGTGTTTTTCAGCCCTAGCTGTACAGGAATCACCTGGGGGCTTTTAAAATTTTGATGGGCATCACATCTAGAGGTTCTGATGTAACAGGTTCAGGATGGGGCCTAATCATTAATCTTAAAACTCCATAGATAATTCTAATATGCAACTACGGTTGTGAACCACTGACATAGGGCATTGGAGACCGAGGTAAGGAATGTGGACTTTATCTTGGGTGTAATGGGAAGACTGGGGGATTTTTTAGATGAGGAGCTATATCTGGTCTGTATTTTGAAAGAATCTCTTTGGCCGCTCTGGGCCGAATGGGTCATGGGGGTAAGAACAGAAGCAGGGAGAAAACAATAAGGCAGCTGTAATAGTAGGAGGGCCGAGAGTGGCTTGAGTGAGGGTGGCAGTAGTGGAGATGGAGACAAGTGGACAGATTCAGGCTGCTTTGGTGGTAAAATTGACGGTAGGACTTACTAATGGGAATTAGGGAATGAGGAATTAAGAACAAGAGCTGTAAATTAACTGTGATAATTTACTGAGCACTTACTGTTGTAAGTGCTTTAGTTACTTTAATAAGACTCCTAACTTGCCCAAGCTCATACAGTCAGTAAGTATAAATGCTGGAGTTGTACTGTGACCCAGTTGGCTCCAGAGCATATGCTCTTAACCACGGGCTCTTAGGCTTTTGACTTGAAGGACTGGATGGATGGTATTGGCACTTACAGAGGTGGGGATGCTTCAGGGTGGGAAGGAATTAGTTCTCCTTTGGCAGCATTGGTTTGAGATGGCTGGGATACGTTCAGGAGAGATGTTAAGTGATCTTCGAAGCCCAAAGGTGAGAAATATTTGGAAATCACTGACGTACAGATTGTATTGTTAAGTCATGAGGCCGGAGGTGATTACTTTGGGAGAGAATGTGGAGAAGCAGCAGAAAGAGTCAGAGGACCAAGTGCCATAAGTGGGAGTGGTGGCCAGTGAGTGTGTGGGTCACAGGGTCAAGGGACAGTGGTCGTGTGGGTTAACGTGTTACCGAACGGGCTAGAAGGATGAGGATGGTGAATACAACTTGGCAACACAGCCTCGCTGGGGACCTTGCAAGAGTTGTTTTAGTGCAGGGGCGGGGATAGAAGACTGGGTGGAGCAGGCTGAAGGGCGAACGGGAAGAGAGGCGATGGAGGCTCCTTTAAGGCTGGCGGGGGCGGGGAGCAGAGGTGAGCAGGCGGCGGAGGGCTCAGAGTCAGCTTCTTAGAACCTTCCCCACGGTGTGTTTTGTTTGTGTATCTGGAGCACCTCCAGAAGGGTTTTTGGGTAATTTAAACATAATATTTGCCATAAAGTTACTTACTGTCTTACCTGGATGAGTGGATAACATTTAAACTGTCCATCTTTTTTTTTTTTTTTTGCGGTACGCGGGCCTCTCACTGTTGTGGCCTCTCCTGTTGCGGAGCACAGGCTCCGGACGCGCAGGCTCAGCGGCCATGGCTCACGGGCACAGCCGCTCCGCAGCATGTGGGATCTTCCCGGACCGGGGGTGTCCCCTGCATTTGCAGGCGGACTCTCAACCACTGCGCCACCAGGGAAGCCCTAAACTGTCTATCTTAAACTCCAAAGTCATATATAAAATAATGTGATTTCTCTCAAAGATTTCTTCATGAAATTGAAATATATCGAAGATTTACTAGATTGAAACATGGGCCACAGAGGTAGAAATTTTGTGTCCTTGATTTGTTGAAAATGCTCTTATTCTGCCCTTACTTTTGAATGCCAAACTCAAAATAATTTTCCCTCAGATTTTTTTTCTTAATTTTAATTTTTTAAATTGTGGTAAAATATATATGACATAAAATTTACCATTTTGTGGGGGAGGGAAGAAAAGAAAAAATATTTACCATTTTAAGTGTACAGTTCAGTGGCATTAAGTACATGCCCATTGTTATGCAGCTGTCACCACCACCCATCTTCAGAACTTCTTCATTTTGCAAAACTTTAATGCTGCACCTATAGAACCCCCCCATTCCCCCCTCCCCCAGCCCCTGGCAACCCCGCTTCTGCTTTCTGTCTCTGTGAATCTGTCTGCTCTAGGTCCTCATCTAGGTAGGGTCATGCAGTATGACATCTGTCCCCGTACGACTGGCTTATTTCACTGAGCATGACCTCTCCCAGGTTCATCCATGTTGGAGCAGGTGTCAGAATTTCCTTCTTAAGGCTGAATAATATTCCATTTCTCTCACAATTTTAAAGGCATTGGTCCTTTGTCTCATAACATCAAATGCCACTGATGAAAAGTTTAATAACAAATCAATTCTCATTCGTTTGTAAGAAATCTCTCTTTTTTTTTTTTTTTTTTCCTCTCTGGAAGATTTTATCTTCTATTTGTACTTGGTTTTTCTAAAATTTGTTGAGGATGTGTCTGGGTGTAGGTCTTTTAAACTTTTTGTTGGGCACTCGGTGTGACCTTTCAGTCAGAAGACTGATATGTTTTCCACTCTGGAAAATTTTCTTCTGTGATTCTGTTTTTATAATTTTTCATTTCCCCCTTTCACATTTTTTTCTGTTCTCTTTCTGGAATTACTGTTTGACAGATGATGGATTATTGTCTTTGTGTCTTTAACTTTTCCTTCATATTTTTCACCTTTTAAACTAGAGTTCTCTGACGTTTCCTTCCAGCCTTTCTTTTATTTTAACAAGTATATATTTAATTTTCCAGAATATTTATTTTCTTCCTTTTTAAAGCAGCCTGAATTTTTTTTTAATGGATGCAGTATCTACTTGAATGTCTCTGAGAATATGTATTGGAGCTTTTTTTTTTTTTAAGTCTCTAGGATTGTTTGTAGTGTGTGTTCATCTTGATGCTGTCAGTTTTACTTTTTCAATATCGAGTAATCCTTGGTTGTTTGTAGGTTAATTAAGAGGTTAATTTGAGGAAGCTGGCGTGTTTTCTCTGCCATCATGTAAGTCTGTTTAACCAAAGGATCTTTCCTTTGCAGGAGAGGCTCTCTCCATAGGTGCCCGATATAGGTGGGCTTCACTTTAAGGTGCTGTGCAAGGAGCAAACAGGCAGTGCTGGGGGGCCACCCAGAGGCCAGGAGTAAGGTGGTACTCTAAGTTGTCAGCACCGCACTGGGACCGGGTGCTGTCTCCAGGCAGGTTTTTTTGTTTTTGTTTTTAAATATTTAATGGCTGCGTTGGGTCTTCTTTGCTGCGCACGGGCTTTCTCTAGTTGTGGCGAGTGGGGGCTACTCTCTTCGTTGTGGTGCGCCGGCTTCTCATTGCGGTGGCTTCTCGTTGCGGAGCATGGGTTCTAGGAGCGCGGGCTTCAGTAGTTGTGGCTCGAGGGCTCTAGAGCGCAGGCTCAGTACTTGTGGCACACGGGCTTAATTGATCCGCGGCATGTGGGATCTTCCCGGTCCAGGGCTCGAACCCATGTCCCCTGCATTGGCAGGTGGATTCCTAACCACTGTGCCACCACGGAAGCCCTCCAGGCGGGTTTTTTAATTTCTTTAGAGTTGAGGTCTGGGTTTCAGCTTTGGGGTAAATGCTGCTTTCCCAGGGCTGATGAGGACAAGGCAGGGGGCCCCGCTATTCCAGAGGTCGACCTCCAGACTGCAGTTTATAACCAGTAACCCCTACTCAGCATCTCTGCCAGCTTTGAGCTTGGAATTCTCTGGATTCCTTACTGCAGTCCTTTCCTGTGTGTTGTCAGAGATGCAGCTTCCTCGTACCTTAGACCCCAGCACAGGCGCATCCTCTAGGTCTCAGTGAGAAACTCATCAGAAATTCTGATCTAGTGACGGCCTCTCCTTCTCATTCTTGGTACTGGTATTGAGTCCCTCCTGCTCTTATTTACTGTCATTTCAATGGAACTCTGGGTGGAAAGGGAAGTACATGTGTGTTTAGTTCACAATCTTGAACCAGAAGCCCATCTCAATCCTTTATTTTTGTCATTATTTTATCACGTGTGTTTCTGTTGTAAGCTATCACAAATCTTTTGTGTAGTGAGATTAGATAAAAAATTAACTATTGAGCATCTACGTTTGCCTCAGTTGGTTTTAGATGCTGAGCAGGATGTAAAATGAGTAATTTATGGTTCTAGCTCCTGAGGAACAAAATTTATGGTTGGGGAAGTAGAGATGGCACAAATGAAGCAATTAGAGAGAAATTAATTGCCTCATAGAATTGTACAGACCTTTGTATTTTAAAGGATATGTTAAGTTTATGAAGATGAGTATCTTTTTATTGAATTTTTTAATTTGGGGAAAAAAGTATATGTATATATACTAGTTACACGGAGTCTTTCTTGCTCTTGGATATTTCTTTTCCCGTAGCATCCTGTTTTTATTTTATGGGTTTAATATCTCTCGATTCTTTATGGGATTACTAATTAAGGTTTTTTAAAAAATTCTGTTGCCTAGGTATTTCTATTTTTTCCACAGTTATTTTTTTCCCTCCTTTTATTTTAGTCTTTCTTGATCATGTGGCAGGATTTCTCTAAATGGTCACTGATACTTAGAAATAAGCTCATATTTAAGAATAAAACTGTTGAAAGCTGTCAGGCAGGAAAAGGAAGAGCTAACCATTATGACGATGGCAGAAGGAGAAGAGCTTCACACTAGGCGATAGTGCCCATACTTGGTGCCTTAATTCCCCAGGCAACTCTTGTATTTCTTTCCAGAGAAACATATCCATTTGCCTGTGGATAAGCTCCTAGCTTTAGACAGAATTGTGCTGGAGGGTGGGAGGATTCTGTCCTGTACATGACCATTTCCTTCATGAAACCTTGACTCCAACTAGGCAGAATCTATAACTGCTCTCTGAATGCACTCTCCAGTGTTCCATGCTTAAATGTTTTTCCCATTCACATTAGGCCTGTTTATAACCTACCTGTCTTTTAGGACTGGCCAAAGTCGCATCTTTTCTAGACTCATCCCAACCCCATTATAGCTCTGTTTCCAAAATTTCTTGTCCATGTCATTAATTTGAGTGTAGTCATATGCTCCTTTTAGGCAGAAACGATGTATTTATAATCTTGGTGCTTAGGATAAGCCTTGTACTTGATGGATATTCACAATATGTAGAGTTCTGTGAATTAAATCCTGCTTTGCATTTGTACCTACCTCTGTGAGTGACTGTTTACACTCTCCTAGAACTCATAGCCCTAAAGTTTATCACAGTGAAAACACTGTCAGCTCTTGGAGGTTAGACCTGTGTCTTAAATATTGCCTGTATCCTTTCAGCATCTCACATAGGTTTTTTTGTAACTAGTAGGCATTTAGTAGAGATTTATTGAATGGTTAAATTGCAGTGAGAGACACTAACCCCAGTGTTGTAATTTCAGGTGCCTGTGACATTTGATGACATCTCCATCTACTTTTCCACTCCAGAGTGGGAAAAATTAGAAGAATGGCAAAAGGAACTTTACAAGAATATCATGAAGGGCAACTACGAGTCGCTCATTTCCATGGGTGAGGCTAAGTTGGCATCTTTTGAATGAGGTGACAGCAGCTCCATGAAGTCTCAGAATGGTCCCTTTTCCTCCAGTGTCCTCATTTTCACTGTGTCCTCACACACTTCTGGTTCCAAGCGAAAGATTTTCAGTTCACCCTTGCTAAATAGGAAATCATGATCTCTCCTTCTGCCAAATCGTGGGACAGAGAATGAAGTTCAAGGTTATGGGTTATGGGTGTGCCAGCTGCAGTGGTTTCCATAGTATCCTTCACTTTGAAAGGGCCTTGCCTCTCCTCCTTGAGGCACACTCACTCTTACTCCATGGAAGTAGCAGGTGGTGCCCAGGTAGCACATGTGCCTTTCCCACACCTCACCTCTCCTCTTACCTGTTTCCTAATAGATAGCGCCCATAGTTGGAGGTGAATGGATGGGGGGAGGCGATCTAGACTCTAAAAGAAATTCCCTGGGCCTGTGCACCTCACAGCCTTCAGTTCAGCTTTTATGGCCATCAGTTGTCATCCTCATTTATCACTTTGTCATACCCTCTTTCCCATTTTCCTCTCCTAGATTATGCCATGAATCAACCTGATGTCTTATCTCAGATTCAGCCAGAAGGGGACCATAATACAGAGGACCAGGCAGGGCCAGAGGAAAGCGAGATTCCCACAGACCCCACTGAAGGTGAGTGAGAGAAGAGAGTATCCACTCCTTGTCTCCCTTTCCTGGTCAGAGATGATGGCTCAGAACTAAGGTAAGTAGGGCTTAGGGCTTCTAGAGCCTCTCAGTCCTAAAGCAAGTAGACTGCGAATGGGTCATCAGGCATTTAAATAGAGCTTAGAGATAACCTTGTCCAAAGCCTTCGCTCATCAGTACCACACACATAAGGGCTATTGAGGGAATGTGTGCCCAGCTGTTCAGAAGTGCTAAGGGGCTGGGAGTCTGCCTGGTCCCTCGGGGACGCACTTAACTGGCAGACCCTGATGGCATCCACCTGGGAAAAGTGGATTTTGCCCAATTTGGGAGCCAGCTATCGTTAGTTAACTCTCCCTACTTTTTTTGGTTGGCAGCTCCTTGATATTGTGTGGGGAAGACTGCTAGTCAAAGTCCAGTTGTATTATTTCTCTCAAGTCCCACCTCTGTTATCAGAAAAATCTCATGCAATTTTTGTTCTTTGATAGATAGAAAGCTCACAGAAAATTCATCCTCCAGACGTGTCTATTAGATGAACTTCTCTGACAACCCACCCCCGCCCCATACAGTTATTTTTTCTAACATTTTATTATGAAAATTTTCAAACAATCAGAAAAGTTGAAATAATTTTACAATGAGCACCTAGATACCTATCACCTAGATTCTATCACTAACATTTTACTGTACTTCCCTATTACATATATATCCATCCCTGCATCCCTCTATCCCTGCATCAATACATCTTATTTTTCATGTATTTCAAAATCAGTACAGATATCAAAACATTTCCCCCTAATTAGTTCAGCATGAATATCATTTACCTAGAGTTCAATATTTGTTTATATTTTTTCTTTTTCTTTTTTTTTAATAAATTTATTTATTTATTTTTAGCTTTGGCTGTGTTGGGTCTTCGTTTCTGTGTGAGGGCTTTCTCTAGTTGTGGCAAGTGGGGGCCACTCTTCATCGCAGTGTGCGGGCCTCTCACTGTCGTGGCCTCTCTTGTTGCGGAGCACGGGCTCCAGACGTGCAGGCTCAGTAGTTGTGGCTCACGGGCTTAGTTGCTCCACGGTATGTGGGATCTTCCCGGACCAGGGCTCGAACCCGTGTCCCCTGCATTGGCAGGCAGATTCTCAACCACTGTGCCACCAGGGAAGCCCTATATTTTTTCTTTTGATGTAAATTTTTCTTTTTAATTTTATTTATTTATTTATGGCTGCGTTGGGTCTTCGTTACTTCCTCTAGTTGCGGCGAGTGGGGGCTACTCTACATCGTGGTGCGCGGGCTTCTCATTGCGGTGGCTTATCTTGTTGTGGAGCACGGGCTCTACGTACGCGGGGTTCAGTAGTTGTGGCACATGGGCTCTAGAGCGCAGGCTCAGTAGTTGTGGCCCGTGGGCTCAGTAGTTGTGGCTCGTGGGCTCTAGAACACAGGCTCAGTAGTTGTGGCACACGGGCTTAGTTGCTTCGCGGCATGTGGGATCTTCCTGGACCAGGGCTCGAACCTGTGTCCCCTGCATTGGCAGGCAGATTTTTAACCACTGTGCCACCAGGGAAGTCCCATTCTCTGAGTTTTGAGGAATGTATATATCTGCTACCCCTATTTTTAAGAATGTGTAGGTGATTGTATTTAGGCAGTGTAACAGGTTGAATTTTATTAATCTCTGTATCATGGATATAAATAATGGGTCTAAAATCATATCACAAATAAAGATGGGTTATTTGATTGCAGAAAAATTCATTATTGGAAATGGCTCCTTGGTCACCTTTGTTAGGTACATGACATAGTCCTCAGTGAGAAAGAATGAGTGTATCATTTTATTGTTTGGGGATGAATGGAAAAGGTATAAATAATTTGGTTTTGAGATTATATATGAAAGTTTGATTTAGCTTTCATCTTGTCAATTTATTTTTACCTTGGTTTTTAAGACTCTGTTTGTGGGGGACTTCCTTGGTGGTCCAGTGGTTGAGACTTTGCCTTCCAGTGCAGGGGTGTGGGTTCGATCCCTGGTTGAGGAGCTGAGATCCCACATGCCTCGGGACCAAAAAACCAAAACATAAAACAGAAGCAATATTGTAACAATTTCAATAAAGACTTTAAAAGTGGTCCACATCAAAAAAAAATCTTAAAAAAAAAAGACTCTACTTGTGGGTAGTCACCCTTTATACTTTAATACATTTTTATTTAGAGTTAACAGTGTAAGCATTGCATTTATTTAGTACTCTGGTTTTATTCTTTAGAGTTTTAGCTTGCATTGGTGATTACCAACCTAGATATTTACCAGAACTTGAGGATAGAAGTCATATAATTTGGACTGATCAATATATATAGCCTTTAAAAAATTCATATGTTTCTAACCTTTAGAACCCTTAATATTTTCCTCCTTTTAGGTTTAATTATATTTTAATGCCTTTTTATTCATTTAATTCAGTTGTTTTCTTTTGGTTGCTCAAATTGTCAACAGGTGAGAGGACTTTTAAACTGTCTGCTGTGTCTCCTGTGTCCTTCTGGTACTGCCTCAGTACTCGTTTTCTTAAAAAAATATGTTCCAGGCTGTGTTGGGATTTCCAAGACTTCTCCTAGGCCCAGTAGTTTGCTGGGAGGACACACAGGACCCGGCATATAGTCACGCTCAGGGCTGAGATTTATTACGGTGACAGGACACAAAGCAAAATCAGCAAAGGTTAAAGGCACTCAGGGCAAAGCCTGGAGGGAACCAGGGGCCAGCTTCCAGAGTCCCCTTTCCGTAGAGTCTCATAGGACACACTTAATTCCTCCAGCGATGAGTTGTGACAACATGTGCAGTGTGTTGTCTCCCAGAGAAGCTCTCTGGGGACTCAGCACCCAAGGCCGGTCACGTAGGCACCCTCTGTCTGGCATGTACCAAGATTCCAGACTCCCAGAAGGAAAGTGGATGTTCAACATAAACCACACTGTTTGTACAAACAGCTTAGGGCCCAGTGAGGCACCCAACATATAGGAAAGCTTGATATCAGCATAGGGAGCTATTTGCCAGCCAAGCGCCAGCCTTGCAAGCAGGCCTCCTGAGGATAGGCAGTCTCAGGACTGCTGTGTTAACAGGAGCTTATTTTAGATTTTCCTCCTCCCAACACATTAAAAAAGTCCTGGTTCCTTTCGGCGGAGAATAGTATTAATTGTCTGGTCATCAAGGTGCATAACAGACTGTCCACACGGATGCCAGGTAGATACTAATGCTGGGCCACTTTAGTGACAGAACTGATAAAGTATTTTTTTCGTAGATTATTCTTCACTTTAACCATTTATATCATTTTTAACATCTTGTTATTATAAAAAAAAAGATTCAAAACTTTTCATTTTTGAGCAAGCAGCTTCTCTCTTCTTTAACATCATCATGTTTGCTTAATTTTTTTGGCCGTGCTGCGGGGCATGCAGGATCTTAGTTCCCTGACCAGGGATCGATCCTGGGCCCCCCAGCAGTGGAAGCTTGGAGTCCTAACCACTGGACCGCCAGGGAACTCCCCATCTTTGTTTAATTTTAATACACCTTGTAATTTTTATTAGATCAGTGTGTTTACATTAAAATTTTGATGTACGTTTAGAAACAATTTTCTAAAATTATGTTTGGATTTATCCATATTTCTTATAAAATAACACCCATAATTTATTATTGTATTCCATTTTAGAGCTTTAGGAAGAACTATGCATTGTAATTAAATAAAAATATGCATAGGTAGACTAGATTTGGGGATAGCAGTAGTGCCATGTGGCACCCCCTCCTTTTTATGTCCAGATATCTTAGAATTAGTTTTATGCTCTGTCTCCATCGCCATCATCTGAATCTGATGAAGGAAAAGAGAAATTATTATTCCTCCTAGGGAACCGTCATTGATGTCAAGTATCTTAGATAAAACGGCTTACAGTTAGTAGAAAATAGTAGTGAATGGGAGAATACAGAAAGATCTAAACCTGAGATTTCTGAAATTCGTCTTTAACTCTGCTACTAGGGCCAGAATACAGACCACCTCTGTGTGCGTGTGGCCATTATTTGGTTGCTGATAGTTTTAATATTGAACTCCAATAGTTTAGAATTCTTTGGAGAAAAGCCTTAACTAAGAAGTTCAGATGGAATAATTACCAAAAGCTCATTATCTAGCCCTTCTTCTAGTTTGGAAGCCATGGACTAGGGCCAAGATTCTAGAATGACCTATAAGTAAAATAAATTCATTCTCAAACCTTGTAGTCCTGAGGAGACTTCTTTGATCATCATTGTTTTGGGTGCATCACCCTTATCTCCTTTATCACCGTTCACTCTAATCCAGCAAGGCCACCTTTTCCTAAACAAAATCAGCGACTAAACACATCCAAATATGATAGTCCTTTTATTTTATTGTAGCCTATTTGCAAACAAGAATTACCCTGGAAATAAAACTTAGAGGTTTTAACTTATGACACAAATACTCAATATATTCACCTGCTATGTTACAGTTCTATACCTATTTCACAAAAGGTGCAAAAAAAGTTTTTATATCTTTACCAATGGTAGTTTCATGTGTCAAGTATTTTTTTAATAATTTTATTTATTTATTGATTGATTGATTTTTGGCTGCGTTGGGTCTTCGTTGCTGCGCTTGGGCTTTCTCTAGTTGCGGTGAGCGGGGGCTAGTCTTCGTTGCGGCGCGTGGGCTTCTCATTGCAGTGGCTTCTCGTTGCAGAGCACGGGCTCTAGGCGCGTGGGCTTCAGTAGTTGCGGCTCGTGGGCTCAGTAGTTGCGGCTCGTGGGCTCAGTAGTTGTGGTTCACGGGCTCTAGAGCGCAGGCTCGGTAGCTGTGGCTCATGGGCTTGGTTGCTCCGCAGCATGTGGGATCTTCCTGGACCAGGGCTCGAACCTGTGTCTCCTGCATTGGCAGGCGGATTCTTAACCACTGCGCCACCAGGGAAGGCCCTGTCAAGTATTTTTATTTTCTGCTTAAGAATTCAAATCTCAGCACCAGTTTTTGTTTTAACTGAAGTATAGTTGATTTACAGTGTTGTGCCAGTCTCTGTTGCACAGCAAAGTGACTCAGTTATACACACACACACATTCTTTTTATATATCCTTTTCCATTAGGTTTATCACAGGATATTGAATATAGTTCCCTGTGCTATACAGTAGGACCTTGTTGTTTATCCATTCTAAATGTAATAGTTTGCATCTACCAACCCCAAACTCCCACTCTATCCCTCTCCCTCCCCCTCCCCCCCCCCTCCGCTCACCCCCCCACCCCTGGCAACCACAAGTCTGCTCTCTATGTCTGTGTTTCTGTTTTCTAGATAGGTTCGTTTGTGCCATATTTTAGATTCCACATATAAGTGATATCATATGGTATTTGTCTTTCTCTTTCTGACTTATTTCACTTAGCATGATAATCTCTGGTTGCATACATGTTGCTGCAAATCTCAGCACCAGTTTTTTTTTTTGTTCTTTTAATTTTATTTATTTGTTTATTTATTGGCTGCATTGAGTCTTAGTTGCTGCACGTGGGCTTTTCTCTAGTTGCAGTGAGTGGGGGCTACTGTTCATTGCGATGTGCGTGCTCCTCATTGCGGTGGCTTCTCTTGTTGCGGAGCATGGACTCTAGACGTGCGGGCTTCAGTAGTTGTGGCGCACAGGCTTAGTTGCTCCATGGCGTGTGGGATCTTCCTGGACCAGGGCTCGAACCCATGTTCCCTGCATTGGCAGGTGGATTCTTAACCACTGCGCCACCAGGGAAGTCCCTCAGCACTTGTTTTAACTCACTTAGTTCATAATACCTTTGTATACATCCCAGAACCTCAAGGTTCCAGCTGCTTTTCAGACAGTGTGGGGCCTTACCTGTTTAAAACATACACACACACACACACACACATACAATAAGATTTCCTCATAGCTAAAATGACATTCAACCAGTGTAGATATTAAAATTTTATGTTTTCTTTTTGAAAGCCTTTCTATTTGAACTACCCCTCAAACCTAAAACCTCAGCATTTATCGACTCCCTCTTACCTGATCACTATTTTCAGTTTTTCTCTCTTCTGTGGCTTTCTCCAAAGCCTGCTGCTTGCAGGAACCAATGATTTTACTCTCATTTGTGTCTCTTTAAGTATCCACTATTGGGATTCCTCAGGCCTGTGCAGATGTGCTCTGAGTGCTGTTGTGGTGACTGGGCCAGTAGTTGCCCTACCGTCACCAGGCAGGTGACTGCATGAGGCCACCTGAGTATTCCAGTACTCCTGCTCCTTTTATTTCACTTCCAAAAGGTCCTCAGTTATACACCCCCACCACCCCCACCAAATGTAGTAGACACAACCATATTACATGCATTCAGTTACAGCAGTGCCAAGACCCAATTATTTGATAAAATAAATATTTACTTAGTTTTACTGATCTAGTAAGCTCAATGACCAGAGGAACTTTAGCATCATTATTCAAAAAGAAGGGTTACCTTCCTGGGGTTCCCCAAGTTCAGTGAAGACATACTGAGCCAGTGGCTGTAATAACAATAGCCACTCGCATTTCTGGAGAACTGGCTTGTTCTTTTAGTCCTCCATAGCTTTTATGGTTGGCTGCTGACTAATATTGTAACAAAAGATTGGAAAGAATCCAAATGCCTATCAGTAGGAGACTCTTGAATAAACAATGGTACAGCTACAAAAAGGAATGAGAAAGCTCTCTGTATACGGCTACAGACAGATGTCCACAATATATTGGTAAGTAAAAAATGAAGGTACAGAGCAGTTTGTGTAGTATACCTCATGGAGAGGGAAAATACAAAGATGTACATATGTTTGCTTATATTTTTCCAAGAAAGAATGCAAGATTAAAACAAAAACCAATGAGAATGGCTGCCTATACAGGGAGGGAGAGATTAGAGATGGAAACTAGACCTCTCTGAATGTACCTTATTTTATAGTTTTGATTTTGGAGCTTTGTAAATATTTTACATTAAAAAAAGTAAAAATCAAACACACACTGAAATAACTAAACTGTATACCACAAAAAAATCTTAAATTGAGTCCATATTTTTGTTAATAATATTAGTCTTATTTTGAAATGTACATTCAGATAAAGCAAAGATTATGTAGTGTCGTTAGGAACCAAGATTCTCAGGATAAGAGGGAAAAGATACAAGCATAAAATCAAAGGATTTAATTAAAGCCCTGTAATCTTAAATATGAATCATAAATATTAATATAAACTCATGACACTTTCCTTTTTCTAAAAGGTATGTATTTTATAGCTTTGTCCATTGAAAAGACCTAGAAGCAGTGACAACCTATTAGCAGTTAGCATCCTTATCATCCAGATTGTTGTCTCTAAATCCCGTTTCTCAGAGAGATTATTGATTGTGTGCTTGGAGCAGGAAATGTACAAGATGAACCTGCTCTAGTTTGTCGTACCAGAAATAAAGGAACCTAGATGTTTGATGATGTGAAAAGATATAGAACTGATCTGAAGGGGCTCCCGCTGGCCAAAAAAGGGACAATTTGAGCGTTAAAAAGAATAATGACTTGAACTTGTTTACAAAATGGAAATAGACTCACGGACAGACTTAAGGTTACCAAAGGGGATAGCGGGGGGAGAGGAGGAGGAGATAAATTAGGAGTTTGGGATTAACACATACACACTACTATATATAAAATAGATAAACAACAAGGACCTACTGTATAGCACAGGGAACTATATTCAGTAATAACTAAATGGAAAACAATCTGAAAATATATACATATATATGTATAACTGAATCACTTTGCTGTACACCTGAAACGAACACAACATTGTAAATTAATTATACTTCAATTTAAAAAATGGTTAAAAAAATAATGGCTGCAATGGATTGAAACTCATCCAGTGTATAGCATTCTATGAGTTCATAATGATAAACTAAAGAAAAAAGTCAAAACCACTTGAATCACATTTGGAGGTTCTAGAGCACTAACTCATTATTCAGAAAATTGACGAATGAAGCAATTAAGCATTTTAAAAGTCTCATATTTTTGATGAATAGACAGTTCATCCTTCGGATGTCTGTTAAAGGATCCACTTCCTTACACTCAGTCTCTCACTGCCTGTTTATATATGTGTGTGTGTTTATAAAATCTTGGAGAAAAAAAGATAAGGTTGGATTATGGTTAATACACTTCAGCCTTGTAGCTCAAAGTAGGAAGTTGGAAAGACAAACTGCCACGTGTGCAAGAACCTGTATTTTTCCGTCTGTCTGCATAAGCTGACAGTCTTTGGGGCCTTAGTCTTGTCCAACCTCTTATTTCTCCTTTGGGTGTGACTTTAGATTTCAGTGGTCTCTAACAGATTTGAAAGGCATCGAGCAAAACACTGAGTTCTAAAAAAAACAAAACACTGAGTTCTGTTCATTTGCTAGGAATAAAACCATAACCTTCATACAAGGCTTTTTTCATAATTAATATAGAGAGCTTGAATTTATTCTCCGGACCCTGTCAGCATGCCAGCTTGTCCTTTTAGGCCAAAAAAGGCTATATAGACCTCGGCTGGAATAGCAAGCACAGCTGTTTCTGAACTGACCAAATGAGGCATGTTATGTGCAAAGCCTTTAGAGGCTGTTCTTTTTTTCTTTCCAAAAGAATCCCCAAGGCCTGAGGGACTTGCAAACACTATTCTCCCCACTCCCAGTGTTCAGGAAACAATAACCTATATCATTAATAAGTAGAAGTAATATGATCTCTTGGAAATAACCCAGAATTGGGAACCTGAAAAATGTTTCTGAGCAGTCAGATCTGTGCTTAAACCTAACTTTGTAATTCTGGAAATGTATTTTTTTTTTTTTAAAGGATCAATTTTATTTATTTATTTTTGGCTGTGTTGGGTCTTCGTTGCTGTGCACGGGCTTTCTCTAGTTGCGTCGAGCGGGGGCTACTCTTTGTTGCGGCACACAGGCTTCTCATCGTGATGGCTTTTCTTGTTGTGGAGCATGGGCTGTAGGTGCGTGGGCTTCAGTAGTTGTGGCATGCAGGCTCAGTGGTTGTGGCTCGTGGGCCCTAGAGCACAGGCTCAGTAGTTGTGGCGCACGGGCTTAGTTGCTACGTGGCACGTGGGATCTTCCCGGACCAGGGATGGAACCCATGTCCCCTGCATTGGCAGGCGGATTCTTAATCACTGTGCCACCAGGGAAGTCCCTGTATTTGTTTTCAAATTAACATTTTTTTAAAGCTTTCGGTTCATCTTTTTTTTTTTTTTTGGTTTTTTTTAAAACAAATCTTTTTTTTTTTTTTTTTTTGTGGTACGCGGGCCTCTCACTGCTGTGGCCTCTCCCATTGCGGAGCACAGGCTCCGGATGCACAGGCCCAGCAGCCATGGCTCACAGGCCCAGCCGCGATCCTCCCGGACCAGGGCATGAACCCGTGTCCCCTGCATCGGCAGGCAGACTCTCAACCACTGCGCCACCAGGGAAGCCCCTAAAGCAAATCTTTGATAATATAGCTTTTCACTGTAAATACTTCCTTACTGGCCGTTTACTTAACCTCTGAGGGCCCCCCCTACTTAAATGGAGAAAATATTCCCTGCTTCATTATTTCATAAAAAAGCTGTGAGAGAAAAAGGTGAAAATACTTTGAAAGTAAGTGTGCTAATGAAATGAAAGGTACTAATAAATCTAGATTATTTCAGAGTGTCATCTCTAATATAAAAATTTTGATTTGTTTTGAAATGGGCTCACCGAAAATAGTGAATCAAGGTGAGTCTATCATGTAAAGATTCATAAATTTGGTTTCATTTTGAACGGGTTCTCTAGATGTTATATGCATTTTTTAAAAGGCTAGTTTCATTTTGTTGTTATAGTTAATTAGAGATAAATATTTGGGCAAAATGTAATATTCAGCAAACCAACATGATTATTTCCACTTTCTGAGTCAAGCCCTGAAGGCCATTCTCTTCCCCCACAAACAGAGCCTGGCATTTCAACATCGGATATTCTGTCTTGGATTAAACAAGAGGAAGAGACCCAGGTCGGCACCCCACAGGAGCCCAAGGAGAGTGACATGTGCAAAAGCACCTATGCCGGTGAGTACTGAGGCGCCCAGACCCAGCTTATGCCAGGACCACTGAGAAGAAACGGTAGAGGAAGTCGGGTTGTGGATGCAAGGAAATGGGTGAGGAATGAGGAAAAGGGGGAAAAAAGCATGTTCAAGTAAGTTAGAAATGAAACGGAAATCAAACCAAGATACATTTTAAGTGAGAAAACATACTCTTAAGTGTAAAGACAAATTAGAAGTGTCCGAGGAAGAAAAACAAGTGCATACAGATGCACCAGAAGTATGAGGATGGGGAAGGACAGAACATTTGAAGAGCATGCAGAAAGGACAGAACAAAGCTAGGGGGTGGGAGAGACAAGCAGTGGAGACAGCAGTGTCTTGGGAGAGGCACAAATGGGAATGTTAATGAAGAGCTCTCCCTCAGGAAGAACAGTGACATGAGAAGAAACATGCGTCTTCTAAGACATTTTAGCACCATGTATATTTTGCCATCTGAACCAGAAGAGAATCTCAAGGTCAGAAGAGACATGATCGTTCATGCAACTTAATGCAACCTGTTTAACTTCTATGCTCTGTGCTTAGACCCTGGGGAAAAAAAAAAAGACAGTTTCTGCTCTTCAAGAAGTTTATATTGGGGACACACATATCAGTGCTAGGCATGCCTATTATTAAATGTCAAGGGTGAGTGGGATGGATGACTTGTATACAAGAAATAAGAAGTTCGGAGAACATCACGTCAGTTTTAGTTTAGGTATTTAGATAAGGCCTAAAGAAGGATGCAAAGGGACTTCCATGGCGGTCCAGTGATTAGGACTCTGCACTTCCACTGCAGGGGGCTTGGGTTCCATCCCTGGTTGGGGAACTAAGATCCCCGCAAGCTAGGATGTGAAGCTAGAATTGGCCTTAGAAAATAGGTACTATGTGGTTGGGTATAATCTGGGAAGATGGGAAGAGAGGAGATGCATTCTACAAAAGGGAGGGCAGAATGATTAAAGACATATGAGCAGAAATGTGTACTTTATTTTCCAGGAAAGTAAAGAGACAGCTAACTATAGTGAAGGACTTACCTGGCAGAATACAAAGGAACAAGATTAGATAAATACGTGATTTTAGGCCTAATCACAATAGGCAACAGAGAACATTTCAGAGCCTGTGAGCAGAGGTGGATCATAATGAAAGTAATGCTGGGAAGATTGATGCCAGGGTTCTTCCTGTCCAAACGGGGAGCGCTGAAGAGGTTCGGTAGTAAATTCTCCGACATTGGCCTCAGGGACTACAGACACCCTGGTTATTATCTCAGCCCTCCACTGACTTCCTTATCTGGGCCAATGGGAGCTCAGAGCAGCCTGTCAGAGCTGGGCAGGGACACAGGAGAGTTGCTGGGACACCTGTTGTCGACAGGTGTGACTCTGAGTCCTTTCTTTCAGACGAAGAGCTTGTCATCAAAGCTGAAGGCCTCGCCAGAGCCTCCCTGTGCCCCGAGGTGCCCGTCACCTTCTCTTCTCCACCAGCAGCAGCTAAGGATACGTTTCCGGACGTGGCCTTCAAAAGCCCGCAGTCTGCGCCCATGGCGCCGTTTGGACGTCCAGCCACCGAGCTGGCCGAAGCTTCTGAGGGACAAGTGACTTTCACTCAGCTGGGCAGCTACCCCCTCCCGCCTCCGGCCGGGGAGCAGGTGTTCTCGTGCCACCACTGTGGCAAGAGCCTCAGCCAAGACATGCTGCTGACCCACCAATGCGGCCCCGCGGGGGAGCGCCCGGCCCCCTGTGCCCAGTGCCCCAGGCACTTTACCCCGCACGCCGACCGGGGCCCCCAGCCGCCCGCCAGCGAGACACCACCCACCTGCCCGCACTGCGCCAGAACTTTCACTCACCCGTCCAGACTCACCTACCACCTTCGGGTCCACAACAGCACCGAGCGCCCCTTCCCCTGCCCCGACTGCCCCAAGCGCTTCGCCGACCAGGCGCGCCTGGCCAGCCACCGGCGAGCCCACGCCAGCGAGCGGCCCTTCCGGTGCGCGCAGTGCGGCCGGAGCTTCAGCCTGAAGATCAGCCTGCTGCTCCACCAGCGGGGCCATGCGCAGGAGCGGCCCTTCTCCTGCCCTCAGTGTGGCATCGACTTCAACGGCCACTCGGCCCTGATCCGCCACCAGATGATCCACACGGGCGAGCGGCCGTACCCCTGCCCTGACTGCAGCAAGAGCTTCATGCGCAAGGAGCACCTGCTCAACCACCGGCGGCTGCACACGGGCGAGCGGCCCTTCAGCTGCGCTCACTGCGGCAAGAGCTTCATCCGCAAGCACCACCTCATGAAGCACCAGCGCATCCACACGGGCGAGCGGCCCTACCCCTGCGCCGAGTGCGGCAGGAGCTTCCGCTACAAGCAGACGCTCAAGGACCACCTGCGCTCGGGCCACGGTGGCGGCTGTGGTGGGCATAGTGACCCCTCTGGACAGCCGCCGGACCCCCCGGGCCCCCTGCTAACTGGGCTCGAAACCGCTGGCCTGGGCGTTAACACCGAAGGTCTAGAGGCCAATCAGTGGTATGGGGAAGGGACTGGAGGCGGGGTTTAGTAAATCTCTCCTTTCAGGGTTAGCCGTGCTGGCAGCGGGGCAAGAGGCAAGCCCAGAAGCCCCTGCACCCCGCTAACCCGGTGGTAATGCCTGCCTGGCACGTCAGTGAATTTGGGGTCCTGTGCACTTGACTAGAGGCGTGCTTGAGTTTCGGAACTTCACAAGAGCCGCACATTGTGAAACCCAGGAAGACCTGGAAGAGAGCCCAGCTTCCCCATCTTTTCAAAAACATTACCTAAGCGGGAGTTATAAGAATGTTGCAGAGAGGTTGGAAAGCAAGATTCGGCCTCTGGTGATCCATCAGTACGTCGAGGCAGGTGCGTGGAAGAGCCTCCAAGGCTTGAAGCCCATTCTGCGGCAGAGAATGTTTAACTGAGCCTTTCATCACCTCCTTGATGGTAGGACGGTTCTGGAAGAAAGTGCCCAAGCCTGGGCACCACTCCTGTTCCTCCCAGACAGTGGCTCCAGTTGGCTCACGTGCTTGGGTACTGTCTCTCCCGAAATGATGACTCAAGACTGCCTTCCTAGGTCTCCTAGATGAATTCTTCTAATATATTTTGTTTAATACTGGATGAGCAAAAAATTTGACTTTAAAACCTTAAGGAGAACAGTCCTTTCACCAGCTTAATTTGAAGCATTCAGGCTTTTACTGCCATTTAAACTGCTAGAAACTTTTGCCGGGGTCCTGGTTAAAAATTTGGGGGCAGCATTCTCAGCCCCAGCTTTAAAAGCTAGAGATCCCCGAGAAGTGACAGAAGAGCCTAGAGTTTGTGCCTGAACCATGTTTCTTAGAGTCACTTATGTCGTATTCTTCCTTATTGTTTGCAAGCAAGCAAGCTGGCTTTTCCATTCCCAGTGTCTGATATTCTGACAGTCATCAGCAGGAAAGGTCACAGCGCTTTCCAGAAGCATTACAGAGTTTTGGAAAGTGCCAGTGGACTGTCACCTTTCACTTCCGCAGTAGTGAGATGATAGTTGCAATGCCGCCTTCTTGAGCCAGCAGAGTGTCTGTTCACCACCCACCCCCACCCCCACCCCCCGGCGAAGGGGAGAATGAGGGACTTTGTAGGCCCCTGAGAGCTAAGCACCAGGCGTGGATGAGGACAGCCTCTTCCTGCTGGCTTTGCTTCTGGGGACCTTGGCTACCGTGTGTTCTCTTGTCAGGGTCAGTCAGTCACCTGGGAGCATCTGAGCCTGGTCCCATTCCCAAGTGGCTTTGCAGTTGGGCCCCTTTCCCTTTACAGATCTCAGATTGTCATCTGCAAAATGAGGCTGGTGAAAGGAAAAAAAGTGAACCTTTAGAATTTAAAAAAAAAAAATTTTGTACATTCCTTCTCCTGCCAAAATCCTATCTCTATCTCTGGCTTTTATCCAGGCAAAGCAAAATAAGACAGCAAAATCAAAGCAGCGACATTCTTGCTGAAACTTGACTGAAATCAGTTTGATTTGTTGTTTTACTCTTGCTTGGAGACTGAGGTAGAAGACAGAGAATGCAGAAGTCCTAAGTCTTGGGCAGAAAAGTTGTTTGTACCTGTACTCTCCTGTTTCCCCTGAATCTTCCTGAGATGGCTGTGACAGGGTCTGCGAGTATTTAGACAAGACACTTTCTTGATGAAATGATAAGGGAAGGACCCATTTTTTCCCTTATCACCCAGCCCAAACCTCACCCTGCCTAGTTATGTGTAACTACACTATAGGAAAAAAGTGTCACCCCCAGCTAGCTTTGCTCCTGGGAATGCTCTGTCTGAACATGCTGCTCCTTAGGATAATCACGTTTATAGAACATCTGTGACATTCTCAACACCAAGCATCATGGGAGGCCTAAGAAATGTGTATGAGACCTATTCCACTGTCATAACTTATAGTCTAAAGGCAAGGGTATGGGACAAACCAAGAGAGATGATAAACAGAGCCCTGGCATATGGGATTAAGAGTTTTCTAGCTAGAATCTGGACCCATACCATGGAAAATTGGGGGGTTCTGGGGATCCCAAAACCAGGGTTCCAGCTTTACTGGTGACCCACTAGGAACCTGAGTGTGAGATCCAGCTCTGGTTTGTATCCTGATCTTCCTAATGAAAAGGAAGAAGAGTCAGATCTCTATGTGGTGAGGTCCCTTTTCTGAACAGATGGATTTGAGCATTCGCCAGGGTTTGCTGGAGAAGGCACTCCTACACTAGGTGTGATGACGGATGAGATGGAAATTCTTCTTTACTCAGAGGTTTACTGAGGACACAGAGCTTATTAATGAAAGAGACCTGTGGTTTAAAATGCTGCAGATAGGTCCCACAGTCCCTTTTGCAAGGAACTGTAGCCAGCAGGGGCCCGCACTTTGGCAAGAAGTGAACAGAGTTCAAATACCAGTGAGGCAAGAGCTGTGAAGCTGAATGAGAGGGAATGGGCAGCATCATGCCAGAAAGATGGAAGTAGATGTTATCCAGTCCTCAGCGCTTGAACAAACTTGGGGCTCAGCTACTGTACATTCTGGTCTCCTTTCCCTCCACCAGTCCTCTACCAGGTAGAACTCCAGGCCAGCTCTTAGTTCGAGTTTGTTTGCTTAAGATTCAAAAGTGGATAAGTAAAATAGACCAGTGGAAAAGATAAGTCCAACAGAGAGGTTCCAGTGTGAGGAGAAACGTGGTCCATCAAGGGCTCCTGAGACAAACCATACACCTAAGAGTAACTGAGGATTGGTCTTCCTGACCAGACACAGTGGGAAAGAGGAAAACCTAGAAACGTGCTCTTCATCAGTCTGCCCGCTGGGCTGGGAAGTCTGTACTGTCACATAAATAGGCACCATCTCCTTGGAGTGGATCCAGCTTGTTGACTGTAACCAGATTCACTCTTTGCTTACTAGATTTTTCGTTATCACCGTAAGATGAACCTCTGGCTCAGCCACAGATGTGAACATAAATGGAGTTGATTGTCCAGAAAGTGAAAGAAGACTCTGACCTTTTCTTCTGGATATTTGTTACTGGAACACCATGGCTGGGCTCTAGCTACTTTACGTAACTTCCCAGCAGTGCTTTACATAACTTCCCTCATCGTTAGTAATAGTCTGCGGACTTTCTGTTGGGGGACTCTGCTGGGCTTCTTTTTGGAGCATTTTTAAATATTTGGGTGTCCATGCCTATCTCAACCAGGACCAGACCTTATGGCTTACTAGGGAGTAACAAACGTTCACTGTCTCAGTTGGCAACGGTCTTGTTGATGATAAAAGAGGGCCCGAGTTCCTTTATCTGTTCATTCCGAATGGGATGGTGAACCCAAATTTCTGCTCAGATTTCCTCTTGAGGAGGGGCCGGGCATGCTGTCCCACAGCCACATCCCACATTGTAGCTTCTTAGACAATAAAGAGCATCCTCCTCAGCTGTCTGAGGGCTGCTGAGGAGCGATGAGGAAAAGCAAGTCTCCCCGAAAGGTTCTCACAGACCAGGGACTCTGTTATCATCAGAGATATGTTCTTTCTGTGTGCTCGGTGGACACCTTTGACCCTGTTCCCTTCACTCGACAAAGGAAGCAGTCTTCTCGCAGGGTTTTACACAGAGGACATTCTTTGACTTGGGAAGTGTCAGGCTCTTACAAGCAAAAGATCCTCAAGTTAGGGCAACTTGGTGGGAGATGGGAGTAGGGAGTGCTTGGGCCTTGTAAGGACATGCCATGTGGGTTAGTACAGCTTAATGGCTTAAAGCAGGGACTAGATTCAGACCTAGGTTCAAGTCCTGACATCATAAGAAGTAACATATTATTTAGCCATCCTAAGCCTAGTTTCCTTATCTATAAAATAGAATGGTGCTATGTCTTGGAGGTGTCAGGGTTTGGGGGGAACCTGTGAAAGTGCTTAGCACAGGGCCTGGCACACGGAGGTGTCAGGGGGCAGCCATCAGGAAAGGTGCAGGCCCAACCAGAGAGGGGAAGGTGCAGAGAACTGAGGTCGCTCAGCAAAAGCACGTGATTGCTTGATGACATAGCTTTTGCCTTCCATCTTTTGCTTCCATTTAGCCTGTTAGTTTACTCTGTCTTTTCTGTATCTCCTGGCTCCCAAAAGTTTGTGTGCGCCATGACACCAGGTGGTTCTGATTCTCTTGACTTTTCTTAGTTCACATTCTAACATGTGGGATCTGGCCCAGCTCCTCTTTCTATACCAGGCCACAGAAGTCTCCATCCAACCCTTGGACTGGCTGCCCTTGGGTTACATGCTCATCTTGGTTCAGTCAGCTGTAGTCAGGCGGGAAGGTCCCAGATCCCAGGATCCGTGGGCCTGGTAGACTGACATGGGAATGGGCAAACGGTGGCACAGTGGGGCATTCCTAGTACTGCGAGGAGAGGAAAGACTCTGTTTCACCTGTATCAGGCTTGCTTGAAAGGCTTCTACTTCATCAGCACATCCTAGACCAGAGCTCATGGCCCCTGCGTAAAGGACCTGGAAGGTGCTGCTTCTGTATCTTGCAAAAGAAGTAATTTGTTACTTTCTAGGGTGTTATTCCTCCTTTCTGTCCCAGCTCCACTTTCTTTTTAAATATGTAACTCTGGCCATAATTCTATTTATACACACATACACAATGACTTCTGTCAGCTTGGTCAAATTGCCTCTTCAAGACAAAACATAATTCTGCCCCTTAAGACCAACTGCCCACTGAAGAATGCAGAGAGATACAGTCAAATCAGAGAGGCCTCAAAAGTACTGCGCTGCAATGCTCTTAAAATTGCCAGGTTACATTTCAAATAAAATATTTGGTAAAACCTCATTGGGCTACGTGGCTTTGTGTCTGCTATTAGCAAAGCCAGCATTTACTGTAAAATCTTGAAGCTGGTCTAAAAATTAAGCTTCCCAAGAACTGGGGCCATGTCTTCTTTTGTATTCCTTCTGGTGCCACGTGCTGTCAAGGACGTGGATGCTTGATGAATGATCATGCAGTGGGAAGACCACCTGCGAAGGGATTACAAACGATTCTGGTTGTAGCTTAACATTCTCTACCTGCTTGGTACAGAGCAAGCCACTTAGACTGTGTAGATCTCATTTTACTAGTTCTAAAGGGCAGATTGAACAAGGTGGTAGTAGAAGGTCCCTTCCAACTCTAAAATCATAGAACTTAAGATTTTACTTCCTGGTCCTGTTTTCCTTGTCTGGTTTCTCCCCAGATTCTGCCCTATTGAGTGATTCCTTTGACACAGCAGAATCAACACCTTGGAGAGGTATGCGTTATTACAGATTAAAGAGTCTCATTCTAACCATATTATGATTACTCCAAAACCACACAAACTGACAAAATTCTAGCAAAACTATAAAATTTCGTTTTAATACACAGCATGTGTTTGACTGCACTTTTAAGCATAGGAAGACACACCAAAGTAATAGTTGTTCTAGGGTGCTGGGGTCATTCAGTGGTTACTTTTTCCTGTATATTTTGTGCAATGTAAAACGTTTTGTATATAGCACTTCTAATGCTTTTATAAGAATAAGGATTATCATAATGAAAGAGGTCCTGGAAAGGAAGTCAGGGAGCCTCTTGCTTTGGTTTTCTCACTCGCAGTGTGAGGCTAGTATACACTTTACCAAGTTTACCTAAGGTGTGGTGAGGCTCAAATGAGGGAAGGTCTTAAAAAGTGCTTTGAAAGATACTGCAAGCCTAAGAAGAAAGTGTTGATGTAGTAGGTGCAGGAGAATTACTTGTTGATCAGTTAAACAGTTTCCTGGATGTTACTTAAATGATGCTTCTCTTCAGTCAAGACTGGGCAGTGGCTGTTTCTTCACTTCCAGTTTGCTTGCCTGTGCTGGGGGGAAGCTAGCCTGAGACTGCGATTCGGGAAGCAGTGAGAGAACAGAAGTACGTGTGGGCAGAGACTGAAAAAAAGTTTGATGCAGAAAATATCAGGGTGACATATATAATGTGACCTATATAATGTGCTGACTTCTATCAGCAACTCCGGCGAGACAACCAGTTTTATGTATATGAGGAATTATAACAAATTGGAAAGGCAGGCACATTCCTGGAGAGATTGGTTTAAACAGAATTCAAAATTAAGGCTGTATGTAAAGCTATGTACATCAAATCAGTTCTTGGCTTTGAGGTTATAGTTTTAAAAAAATTATACAAGAAAAACAATATCTGCAAGCCAACCTCAATGAGTAAACAGCAGAATAAAACAATGAACAAGAATAGTTAAGTCAATCATTTTTTATTATTAGTAAGTAATAATTTGGGATGTTTATGCCCCCAGGGAGATTTGTGGGGCTGAGACAAGGATCTGAGGAACAGCAGGGAGCCCTTCTTATGCTACTTTGTTCTTGGCCGGTCATTACAATAACCTGGGGAGCTAAAAAAAATATTTATGTCGGGGCTCACCCTGGCATGATTTGATTCATCTGGGATGGGGCCTAGATGTTTTGTTTTGTTGGTTTGTTTTTTTTTTTGCGGTACGCGGGCCTCTCACTGTTGTGGCCTCTCCCGTTGCGGAGCACAGGCTCCGGACGCGCAGGCCCAGCAGCCATGGCTCACGGGCCCAGCCGCTCTGCGGCATGTGGGTTCCTCCCGGACCGGGGCACGAACCCACGTCCCCTGCATCGGCAGGCGGACTCTCAACCACTGCGCCACCAGGGAAGCCCAGATGTTTTTTGTTTTTTTGGTTTTTTTAATGTTTTGTTTTTTAAAGTTCCCCCAAGTGATTCTAAAGTGCCTGCAAGTTTAGAAGATCATAGAAAGAGAAAGTGAATTATTGGACTGGAAATGACCAGTTAGCCTGCTTTCCCAGAACAGGGAGCTGTGGATTGAAGATGAAAAAAAGGATTTTTGAATCCACAATGGGAAGTCATAATTTGATTCTAGAGGCAGGACTCGGAAGGAAATAAGGCTATGGGAATGGTTGCTGAAAAAGTTCTGACTGATCTCAGTAGTTAAGTTAGGAGCTCCAGAGGCAGCATTCATTTCAGCTGTGCCCACTGCAGGCTCTGTCCAGAGACCTGGTATGGACAGGACGCTGCACGAGCACAGGTGGGAACAGTACCAGTGCCTGCACCGCCGTCCTCCCTAACCTCCATCATGGTGAGGCCAGCACCTCTGTGTAAGAGCAGTTTGCTGAAGAACCGAAAGGGACTGTGGTGACGTCATTACCAGCTCAGATTTAACAATAATACACGGTTCTAATACCTTATTTGTTGCTTTTAGAGAAACCAGTATTATTCTGCATGAACACTAGACAATTTTGAATGAGTTTTGACCATTTATAATAATCAGCCCAGGGACTTCCCTGGCGGTCCAGTGGTTAAGACTTCGCCTTCCAATGCAGGGGGTGCGGGTTCGATCCCTGGTCGGGGAGCTAAGATCCCACATTCCTCGCGGCCAAAAACCAAAACATAAAGCTGAAACAGTATTGTAACAAATTCAATAAAGACTTTAAAAATGGTCCACATCAAACAAACGAAAAAAAACCCAAAAACAAACAAACAAAACAAAAGAAATATATAGTCACCTAAATGTTGAAGGGTTGCCCACTGAGAAGATTCGAGAGGATGTACTGCAGTTATCACCAACATAAAACATGTCTTCTGCATAAAGGATTTCTGAGCCCTGGTCCCTGTGTTTAGGACTGTCGAGTAGCTTACCCAGTCACCAAGCCGTCACATATCGAGGAAAGTGCCATAGAGTCATTAAGAACTGAAGAGAACTTCACTCATCTACTGTGTCGAGACTTGCAAAGAAAGTGATAGAATGCCTATTTGAAGTAGGCTGAGAATAAATTCAAGAGGGAAAAAGTAGTATTTTCTCCAAACTTTGCATAGGTATAAAGCAGAAATTTTCAGAAGTCACTGAGAAAGAGAGGGAGAGGGAGAGAGGGAAAAAAAATACGTGTGTGTGTGTTTGGGCATTTAAGTTTGAATTAAAATGTTGGCAGAAGGTGGATCTGAAAAAGGCAAGGATATTGAAAGCTCATTAGCAAGAGCAAATTGACCTTAAAACTGTATAATACAAAATATCTGACTGTGTTCCCCACATGAACACTTTCTGCGTCTTCTAAGTAGTCTGGGAGCTTTATCACCTTACCCCCAGAGACCCTCCCCTTCACATAGTCTTGCCTCTGATTTTTAGTTATACTTAGGATGTCAATGACTCTGAAACCTAAGGTATTATCCTTCCTTGGAGGTTGGCATAAAGCATCCTAAAGTGAAGATAAGGAAGTTGTAACAATGGACATGTCAGTGGGTGAGGAGAGCTTGAGGATTACATTGCAGTCCTTAAGCCTGCTTTTTAAACTAAGCAAGGAGCGACACTGAGGTAGAAGTGCAGATCTGGTTACCCTCTTCACTTAGCTAAGCGTGAATCTAGAGGGTTTCTTCCTCAAATAAAGCTTGTAGTTGTTGAAAGGACACGGAGTGCACAGGGAACACCAGGAATTAGGGAGTGGCAGACACGTGTGTTAGCGGTCCCCAGAGAAACAGAACCAAAAGGATATATAGAGATATATAAGAGGAGATTTATCAGAGGAATTAACTCATGCAATTATGGAGGCCAAGAAGTCCTATGATCTGCCAGCTGCAGGCTGGAAAACCAGGAAAGCAGTGGCATAATTCATTCCGAGTCCAAAGCCCCAAAACCAGGAGCACCGATGTCCAAGGGCAGAAGGCGATGGCTGTGACCACTCAAAGGAGGAGCAAATTTGCTCTCCCTCTGCCTTTTTGTTCCACTCACGCCCTCAGCGGATTGGATGATGCCCATCCACGCTGGTGAGGGCATCTTCTCTAATCAGTCTTGGATTAAATGCTAATTTCTTCTGGAAACGCCCTCACAGACACCCAGAAGTAACATTTTACCAGCTCTCTGGGCATCTCGTGGCTCAGTCAAGTTCATGCATAAAATCAACCATCACAACACATAAATGTTCTGGCATTTTTGAATGCCCTCTCCTTTGGCCTCTCCTTTAGTCCAATACCCTGTCCTGAGCAGAAGCTATCTAATTCCTAGGTGAGGAGATGAGAAGCAGCCCATTCCCACCTGAGAGACTGAGGGCCCAGCCCCGGGTCCTTCCCCTACGAGAAATGTTTATTAACAATGATACTTGACATCTATAATCCATTTCATCCAGTTGCTTTCTCCTCCTCAGAAAGTTAGATAACTGCCTCAGAGTTACTCAGTAACTCACAGAAACAAGTCTGAGGACTGGACACCTCTCCCAGTGAGGGTCTCTCCCACCCTCGCATCTCTCAGCCCCATCAGCCTGTTGGTCACTGGAGTCCATGGTCCATGGACAGCAGCCCCCTCCTCGTGCCCTTCTTGTTTTCCTTCTGGGAAGTGTCCCCCAATCCCCCCATTCACCATGCATCTGCTGTATCCACTACTGGTTTTTGTGACCTGTGGTTGCTAGGGTTGGCAGTTATAAGATAGATAATGCTAGTACCACGAAGCCTGTGCATTTAAATCCTGTTTGAGTTGAGTAGCTTTGCTCATATCTCATGACAGTGAACTGAACTCTGGCTGCCAGGGGTGAAAGTACGATGGCTCTGTGTGTGCAAAATTCACCCTCTGTGAAGGAGAAACGTAAAGTGGATATACTATGTGGTATCTTATTGTGTAAAAAGAGTAGTAGTTATAAGTAGTTTAATGCTTAGGAAGGGAAGTAATTTTAACTACTTTATATTGAAAAGATAGCTTAAACCCTTGGGACTAACCTAGCTTCTCTTCCACCTCTAGGAAGGAGGGAAGATGTTGATGATGTATAGGTCAGAATGTGTGCTCTGAAATGTGTCTCACTGGTGGAAATGAGTTTACTTGGAGCTTTTCAGAGCTTTTACTTGCCAGTTTCCTCTAATAATAGTGACATGATATTTACAATCAGGGGCAGCCTATGGCCAAGGAACAGAGGGAAGAAAATCACTGACTTCTGGGAACATAACCTTTGCTAACCTGTAAGCTCCTTGAGAATAGTATTAAGTCTGTGAGATACTCATTCTTTATCCTGGAAGTATGCCTAGCAGAGAAAGTACTTGATAACTGTCCTTCTGAGTATGGTGCTCTAAGTACATGTCTCACTTGGACCAATAATGCCCTTCCATATACTAAATGCAGTGGAACAAAAGAGTACTAGTCTGGGGTGGCTCTCTGGAAGGTCTGCCTCTACACAGGGCGATAATCAGCCTTGGAGATCTCTGTCTTAACAAGATAGGAACTAGTCATTTAGGAAGACAGACACTATTTTGAGGATAATTACAAGGACTTACCTTTTGGAGGTAATTACTTTTGTTGGGTGCCTATAAGCACTGTTCTCATTTGATTTGTAACTGTGGAATAGACATTATTTTCTTCATTTATATATGAAGAGACCAAGTGAAGCTCAGAGAAGTGAAATTGCTCACAGTTACAGCTAATGAGTGGTGATTTTGGAATTTAAACTCAGGTATATCAAACTGCAAAGCCCACCCGCTGCCCAAGCAGCAGCTGGCGCATAGTAGGTGCTCAGTAAATATTTGTGGAATGAGTGAATGAGTTTTCCCCTTCCCATTTCTTCTCCATCAGCCTATCTTGTCCTCTCCCCCGCTCCTCCTCTGACTTGGCCTGACGTTTCAAAGTGACGTTGACTTACATTTAAAGGTTCTGGAAGAGGCTGCTGTTAAAATGCTGTGAGTGCACCTTACCTGGGAGGAAGAGTGTGGCCCTCTTCTGACACAGACCAGGTCACTTCTCTGTCAGCCAGGCCAATGCAAAGGCCTGGAGTTGATCCAGGTAAATTTGGATTGAGAAGAGGGAGAGTGGGGAGGTGAAGGCTGCAAAGGAGTGAGGCAAGAGGAAAGGCCAGAACAAAGAGTCTGGAGACAATTGCCAATTTTTCAAAAGGGTCAGGTCCTTTGGGATGGGATCCCCAATAAATATTAGCCGAATTAACAGAAATCCAGCCCCAGGGCCCGCCTGCCTTGCTGGGGACTCTAGGACAGGCAGGTATGAGAGGCATACCCGCGCAGGGTCACTTTGGGGGCGGCGGTGGTCCCCTGGCCCCGGAGCGGCCCCGTTGGTCCCCGCAGGCGGGCAGGAGCTCGGAGGCCATTGGCTGGCGCGCGGGCGGCGGAGGGGCGGGGAGCGCCGCCGAAGGGGACTGTTTGCTCCTACGGGCTGTAGATGGAGCTGTCCGGCCCCGGCGAGGGGGAAGGCGCCTGGAAAACGTTCTTCTTCTCCCTGGCCGGCCCGAGCGGGGAACAGCGCTCCCAGGATGCAGTTTGTGTCAACACGGCCGCAGCCTCAGCAGCTGGGCATCCAGGGCCTGGGGCTGGACAGCGGGAGCTGGAGCTGGGCGCAGGCTCTGCCCCCGGAGGAGGTCTGTCACCAAGAGCCGGCGCTGCGCGGGGAAATGGCCGAGGGAATGCCGCCCATGCAGGTGGGTGCACCCCCGCCGGCGCCATGGCCGCCCGCCTGCCGTGGGGGCGGGGCGGGGCGCAGGGCAGTGGGCGCCGGGCGGCTGGGGGCCCGGGCCGCGCGGGGCGGGGACGGAGGCCGGGTGGGCCGGGGCGCCGGGGGCTCGCGCGACAGGCCCGGCCCGGCGCCCTCGCAGGCCCCGCCCGCGCCCCGGAGCTGAGGGCGCCCGAGGCCGCGTGCCGGCAGGGCCCAGAGCCGGCGCCCGGGGAGGCCCCGCGGGGCGGGGGGCCCGGAACGCGCGGTCCCCAGGCCCTGGCGGGGCCGTAACCGCGTCACCCACCCCGGCCCGGGCTTGCCGAGGGGCTTGCCGGCCGCACTCGCGCCGGGTCGGCGACGTGGGCGCGCAGCGTACCTCGTCAGGTCACACTGCGGCCACTCTGACGAAAAGATGTTTTAAACGTTGTATGGCCATCTTTCACCGAGCATAACGAGCGATTCACCTTTCCCCGGCACCGGCTGTGACGGAGGGAAGGGGCCGCTGAGAGGTGATTCTGCCCTCCATCCAGCGGTGGGCAAACTTGGTTGCACATTAGAAGCACCTGAGCAGCTTAAGACTCCTGACGCCCAAGCCTCGTCCAGACCGGTTAAATCAGCGCCTCTGGGGTTGAGAATAGGCACCAGTCATTTCGTAAAGGTCCATAAGGATCTCAGTTCCGGAGTCAGAGCTCTAGAGCGGTGTGTAAAACACGAGGACGTGATGCTGAGAGAGGCCTGGATAGCTTTGCCCGGAGGAGAGTGTGGGAGCTGACCCTGGGCTGGACCCCGCGGAGCCTCCTCTGTCCCTGGCCTGGTTCTCAGCCAGCCGGGTTCTGACAAGTCCGCCAGGAGTTGCCCTGTCCTGTTTGATCATTTTTCAGCTTTAGGTCTCCAAACCTGTGTAGGGAAGCGGAATTTGCCGCCCCAAAATATGCCTCTTTGGCATAAGGATTATTTTAAGATGGTTATTTTAGAGGAGCTGCAGGCACAGGAGAAGCTCTGAAAACCAAGTAGGAGTTCCCTCTGTAAAAGAGAAATCTCCGTCGCTCTACCAGGAAGAGGAGCGTGACTCAGTGTCTCTAAGAACTCTCACCAGCGGAGAAGGCAAGGACGTACATCTGCATAAACCCGTACACCCTTGTGTCCTGGTCTTTTCCTGGTCACCTCCTGTGACTGACTCCTCCACCCCCCAACATCATCTTCTGTCTTTAGCTGAAGATGGTATTTAAGGTAGTGGCCTGGACCATTCTGGCGAGTAACTCAGTTTTCTGGGTCTCTCCCAGGTATACAGGAGGTATACTTGTTTTTTTGATTTTATTTAGTTATTTTGGCTGCATTGGGTCTTCATTGCTGCGCACGGGCTTTCTCTAGTTGTGGCAAGCGGGGGCTACTCTTCGTTGAGGTGTGCAGGCTTCTCATTGCGGTGGCTTCTCTTGTTGCGGAGCACGGGCTCTAGGGGCAAGGGCTTCAGTAATTGTGGCTTGAGGGCTCTAGAGCTCAGGCTCAGTAGTTGTGGCACACGGGCTTAGTTGCTCCGCTGCATGTAGGATCTTCCTGGACCAGGGCTCGAACCTGTGTCCCCTGCATTGGCAGGCGGATTCTTATCCACTGCGTCGCCACCGGGGAAGCCCCGGAATACATGTTTTTTAAACTTCGTTTTTCTCATGTTAATCTGTCTTATGTCAATTCGCCTATTAGAACAGCCGAAGAACCTAGAAGGGTAGAAGGAAAATTTTTCTTCCCCAACACCTGCAAAAAGTAAACTGGGCCCAGTGACTCTCTGAACTTCCACCATCAGCCCTTGCCCCCTTCTGTAGGCCAGGCTGGAATGATGCCTGAATGAGCCCCAGTACACGGCTTTGCTGGAAATATTACTGCCTCTTATGGAGCAGGGTCTGGGGCCCAGACCCTGCTGCCCTTTCTCCCATGTCAGGAGTGATTCCCTGGAAGCTGGGTGATGCTCCTCTGTGGCTGTCACAGCTGCTCTGAGTTAGAGAGGGCAGTGAGCATGCCTCTCCCTACCTGCCCAGCGCACCTCTAAGTAATAGGTCTCCACTTCACCCAGCCTGAGGGCCTCTTCAGCAGCGACGGAGAGAACAGAAAATGACACCTCCTCCTGTCCCATGTGGCAAGACGATGCCATTTCGGCCCTGCTGTCCAGTAAGCCCTGGGTAGCTGGTATGGTATGGGGCCAGTTCCCAGGTCACCAGTGCACAGTGACCACCCCACTCTCGGTTACAGGGCTCAGCTCCTAACTTGCACCCAGGGGACCTCGCCCTCCAGGGTAAGGACCCAGAACTGGGGGAGTACCAGAGGGCTGGGACCATCAGGTACCCCTCCCCCCTGGGAAGCAGAGGGGGCTGGGAGGTCTTCTCTTCCTCTTAGAGATGCCCCCTCCTCCTCTCCTCAGTGAATGACATTTTTTGGCAAACCCACTTTTATTTTGGAAAATATGAATACGTACTTACATAAGGAGACAGAGCTGCTCGTCTGCTCTCTTGATCGGGCTCCCAGTGTCTCCCTTGGCCACAGCCCTGCTGGGAAGGGTGGCAGCCCAGTTACCTGAACTGTGTTTTTTGTCACCTGCAGCACCTAGAACTACTCCAGTTGACAGTGCAGCGAGGTGCTGTGGAATGACCGGCCACTTCTCTGTGGCTCTATTTCATCATCTTTAAAGCAGAGATAGATAATCATTCTTGCCCTAACCTGCTTAGAGATCGCTGGGAAGATCAGGGGCAGATGACTGACATGAAAATTTTTACTTTGAGACAGCAAACACTGGGCAGCTCTAGAGTTCATCATTAAGTCTAGCCCATGAAGAAAACAGATGGGCTCGCCAAGGAAAGTGGTTCGTGACATTTTAGCCTGGGGTCCACAGCCTTGACCTCTCAAGGGTCAAGGTGGGGTTGTAAACTAGTGGCCAGCTTGACTCCTGCAGGTGGGAAGTGGGAAGATTGGGTGGGTGGCTGCCCGAGCTCTTGCTGGCACGTTAAGGAGCACCATAGCCTGAGAGGCAGGGGCTTGGCAGGAGAGCGAGACTCTGCGGCATTTGATGAGTTGTCCCCTGCTCTCAGGCCACCCTGCCTCCTCACACAGGGTCTCATCCCCACTGTCGCTTTCTCCCTCCTCGCACAGGCTCAGGAATGGGACATGGACGCCCGGCGACCAATGCCTTTTCAGTTCCCACCCTTCCCAGATAGGGCACCCGTCTTCCCCGACCGCATGATGAGAGAGCCCCAGCTGCCCACGGCAGAGATCTCTCTCTGGACCGTGGTGGCCGCCATCCAGGCCGTGGAGAGGAAGGTGGATGCCCAGGCCAGCCAGCTGCTAAACCTGGAGGGCCGGACGGGGACGGCCGAGAAGAAGCTGGCCGACTGCGAGAAGACGGCCGTGGAGTTCGGGAACCACATGGAGGGCAAGTGGGCGGTGCTGGGGACCCTGCTGCAGGAGTACGGGCTGCTGCAGAGGCGGCTGGAGAACATGGAGAACCTGCTGAGGAACAGGAACTTCTGGGTCCTGCGGCTGCCCCCGGGCAGCAAGGGCGAGGTCCCCAAGGTAAGTGGCGGTCCCCAGGGGCAGGGATGGCGGAGAGGACCAGCCCACGTGGACAGCGCTCTTTTTGTCAGGCCTTCTCACAGGCGTCTCTGGCTCCCTGTTGCCTGACTAAAGTGTCTTCTTCCCAAAGCCTGCCTCCACTCTAACCACTTCGTCTGGAATGTTCCACCGCCGCGAGGCTGGCCTCCAGCCATTCCCCACGGAGCCCGCAGGTGTCCCTCCCCAGGCATCTGGGCGTCCGCAGATTCCGACAGCACCTCATGCTTGGGTTTTCCCCTTGGCACCTGCAAATGACCCTTTGTCATTGGTTGTCTTTGTGTCTGCTCCTCTGAATGGTTGGGGACTGACCCAGACCACGCCAACCAGGGTCACTTGAGTCATGGCCACCGCCCTCCGGTGGGCCCTCCTCACAGCTCAGAATTCACGCTCCGTTTCCTGTTCCGTTTTCTCTCCTGCTGTCCCCGGCTCATCAAGCCTGCGGGCTCGGTCAGCACGCCCCTGAGAAGATGGGGTCACCCTCCGGAGACTCCACGTGCAGCTGCGTGTCCTCTGCCTTCCTGTTACCGTGGGCTCGCATCCCACCCCTTCACTTGCTCCAGGAAGTCACACAGCATCTGCCCTTTGTCCCCTGCATCGTCACCTCCTCCCTCTCCACTAGCTCATCCCCGCCTGCAGCGTCGCCCGTCTCTGTAATAAAAAAAAACTCCCTCCAGCGGTGCCTCATTTCTCTGCTCCTCTTTAGAGCGGTCTTTACTTGCTGTCTCCAATTCTTTCTTCATTGTCTCTCTCTCCCTTTTTTAACCTTTTTTATTATAGAAAATTCAAACCTAGACAAAAGTAGATCGAATTGTGTGATGAACCCTCATGAATCCATCGTCCAGCCTCTGCAGTTATCAGCTCTTGGACAATCTTGTTTCATACAACTCCCTACCCACATCCCCCTCCCATTTTATTCTGAAGCACATCTCAGACAGCAGGCATTTTAATTGTAAATATTTCAGTAGGTAGCTCTAAAAGGTAAGGACTCTTTTTTTTAACGTAATAATCTCAAGATTATCACTACCATAACAAAGATCTCAACCTACTCCAATATCCAGTCAGTGTTCAGATTTTCAGTTCTTCCAAAAATGTTATATATATTTTTTCTGTTAGTTTGCCTGAATCAGAACTCAAATAAGTCCACACGCTGTGATTCCTATGTCTCTTAAGCCTTTTCAATCTGTAAGTTCCTCCTTCATCTCTCTCATTTTTCCTTGTAGTTTATCTGTGGAAGAAACCAGGCCATCTGTCCTGTGGAATTTCTCACTCTCTGGATTCTGCTGTCGCATCCTCTGTGGTCTACATTTAACGTGTTCCTCTGTTCTCAGTATTCCACTAAATTGGTGACTGGATTATTCTCCCGGGAACCCACGTGGTTGAGGCTTTTGCTGCCACTTCTCCATCCTAGTGATCTTGCCAAGGCTCTAATGACATCCATGGTATTAAAGCCAATGGTAGTTAAAGCCGTGGTATTAAAGCCTCAGTCTTCATCTCCCTGCCCTGTCAGCAGCATTTCACGCAGGAGACCCCTCCCTCCTTGAAACACCTGTCCGCGTGCCTTCCAGGCTCCCCGCACACCCTTGGTCCTTTTCCTGCATCACTACCTGCTTCTTCTCAGTCTTCTTTGCTGCTTTCCCCTCCTTTTCCTGACTTCTAGTGTTTGGCGTGGTCCAGGGCTCCGTCCTGACCTTCTGCTCAGTCTCTACACTCCCTCCCTCGTGATTTCATCCAGGCTCAGCGTTTTAGATGCTGTCAGCTCTCAAAGGCAGTCTTTCCCTCCCGCTCTGTCTCTGTATCCTGCCCAGACTTCCTCCTTGAATGCAGAGTCACGTTCCTACCTGTTAATTCAGCATCTCCATCAGGATGTCAGTAAGTATCTTAGATTTAACTCGACCAAACTGAACCCCCGATTTCTGCCTGAACCCTGTTCTACTCAAAGTCGTCCTCTTCTCCGTCGAAGACAAGAGCATCCTTCCAGCTGCTCAAGCCACAGGCCTTAGGGTCATCCTTCTCTCCTTTCTTTCTCGCACCCAACTTCCGCTATATTGGTAGATACCATCTGATTTTTCTTCAAAACATATGCACAGCCCAGCCACTCCTCCCCTCCTCCACGGCTCCCGCCTTCGTCTGTTGAAGCCGTCATCGCCTCCCATCTGATTATTGCCATGGCCTCCGCCCTGGTCCTCTTGTCTCCATCCTGGGCCCCCACCCCATACAGTCTCTTCTCAGCAGAGCAGCCAGAGTGATCCTTTAAAAATATCAATCAGCATGACTTCCCTGGCAGTGCAGTCCAGTGGTTAAGACTCCGCACTTCCACTTCAGGGGCCATGGGTTTAATCCCTGGTCGGGGAACTAAAACCCCGCATGCTGCACAGCGAGGCTAAAAAATAAATATTCGTTGCTTTCTTCCCTGCCCCCGTACCCCCAATAAGGAGGAAGAAAAAATACAAATCAGTCATATTACACCTCAGCTTAAAACCCCCCAAATGGCTCCCCAACTTATTGAGCATAAAAGCCCCCATTTCGTCACTGGCCCCTTCCCTCTGGCCCACCCATCCGACCTCCTTTCCCCTTCACCCCCTCTTGCCCACTTGTTGCTCCCCACGGTCCCATGGCAAGGACTTTCCTCCACTGAAGGGCCCCCGCCCCGTCGCCCCCATCAGGGGTTCTGCTCAGCTGTCACTGGACCGCTGTCCCTTCCTGGCCACCCAATCCCGGCGCACTCTTTCCTCGGTCCCTGCTCTCATTTTCTCCAAAGCACTTACACCATCAGGCATCTTAAATACTTACTTTTTTTTTTTGTCTCTTGGTTGGTTTCCCTCTTCTTGCCTCACTGCAGTGTCTCCGTGCCTACAGCAGTACCCGGCTTATAGCAAAACATGTTTGCCGAATGACCCTCCAGCTGGAGGGCTCACGCTTCCACGTAAGGCGCTGGGCCTTCTTGGTCTTTGTATCTGGTAGCCGACCCAGTGGCTTCGCCGGAGGAGGTGCTGGACGGTGATCCATTGAGGCCACACAGAGCTGAGTTCTAACAGTGGCTGTGGTTCCTCCCTAAGCCACCCCCACCACTGCAGCCCCCAGGGGCTCGTTTTTGTAGAGTTTGGCTTATATAACATTGCTGTGCGGCATAGGTGGCACCTCCTCCCATGCTGCCCTTTGCCCTCGTCTGCGCCCTGCTTTAACTCGGTGCTGCATCCCGGCCCTGCTCCGCGTTCTGTGTGTTGGGCCGGGCGTTGGGGGTCTTGAGCTGACACATACCCTCATGGAACAATGGAATGGTTGCGGGGTCCGGAATTAGAAGGCTTGGGTTTGAATCTTGGCTTTGCCACGTGCCGGTTTTCCTACTGCAGGTCAGCTGTGTTTTGTGTTGTCTCCGAGCCTCCTCAATTGCTCTTTGGAAAGAAGTGAAGTGTAAATAAGTAATTTAGTAAGTAAGTTCCCAGGCGGTCTCTCTGAGCTTCAGTGTTGTCATCTGTAACGCGAAGATGATAATATGCCTGCTCCGTGGAGTTGTGAGCGTTAACTGATTTCGTTAAATGGACGCTGGATGCTGGATGACTCAGGCCACTGATTTCGTTGACGGGACAACACTATGTAGCTCATTGTAGTAGTTCTCTGTTGCCATGTAACAAATGACCCCAACCCTTAGCAGCCTAAAAAAAATTATTATTTATCATTTTACAATTTTCGTGGGTTAAGAATTCAGGAGCCGCTTAGCTGAGTGGTTCTGGCTCAGAGTCTCATGAAGTTACAGTCAAGCTGATGACCGGGGCTGCAGTCATCTGAAGGCTTGACTGAGGCTGGAGGATCGGCTTCCAGTATGCTCACGCGCCTGTTTTGGCAGGAAGCCTTAGCTAGTTCCTCACCACTTGGACCTGCCCCACAAGGCTGCTTGAGCATTCTCACACCATGGCAGCTGGCTTCCCCTAGAGTGAGTGATCCAGAAAGAGAGACCAGGACGGAAGCTACAATGTCTTTTATGACGCAGCCTTGGAAATTGTACACCGTCACTTCTTTATTCATTTGTTAGGAGCAAGTCACTCAATCCTGCACTCAAGAGGAGGAAAATTCGGCTTTATTTTTTGAAGGGATTGTCAAAGAATTTGCAGACATATTTTAAAACCTCCATAACCATACGGCACCATGAGAATGTTAATTAATGTTGCTGGCAATAGTTTCAGTTCATTGTAGACTCTTGGCCTTGCTAGATGCATTCTCTTTGTCAGATTCAAATTTCAGGCTGCTGTCTCTCAGCTTCTCTGTGCCTCGTGGGTTCTATTAAATTGGTTAATCATTCATGGATAATTCATGGATATTCTTTCCTGTCTGGCTAGGCTGTAGGTTCCCTGCAATCTTGGCCCATGTCTCAGAGTTCTGCTGCATCCTAGCAGAGTGAGGTTTTTGCAGAGTGATGTCTATTTCCAGTTGTGGGACCATGATTCTGGAATTTTGACTGGTGAAGCGGGGACAGAGGAGTTGGTGTGTTGGAAAAGATAACAAACTTGGTTTTGGATACATTTAGTTTGAGGTACTTAAAAGATGAATAGGGACTTCCCTGGCGGTCCAGTGGTTAAGACTTCACCTTCCATTGCAGGGGGTGCAGGTTTGATCCCTGGTCAGGGAGTTAAGATCCCACATGCCTCGTGGCCAAGAAAACAAAACATAAAACAGAAACAATATTGTAACAAATTTAATGAAGACTTTAAAAAAATGGTCCATATCCAAAAAAAAAATCTTGAAAAAAAAGATGAATAAACGAAGCCACTCAGAAGGCTATTGAAATGTGAGCTTTGAAGGGAGGAAGGAAAGCCGAAGGGTGTCATCTGCAAAGAAGTAACCGCTGAACCCGTGAAAAGAATGAAGCTGCCAAGGGGAACGTGAGGAAACAGGGCAGGGTGAGAGCAGAACCATGGTCCCGGGGCGAGGAAGAGGGAGCAGTACAGAAGACGTGAACCGGGTGGGCAGGAGGCAGCGTGGTCGTGGAAACCAAGCAGGAGGAAATTCCAGGAAGGTGGTCTGACCTTTCAGAGAGGCCTGAAGGGGTGCAAGCTAACAGCAGGAGGCTGATGACCTCTCAGGATGAGGTTTCAGAGAATAGGGGATGCTCATAGACAGATTTCGGGGGTTAAGGAGGCCTGGATGGGGAAGAAAGCACAGAACGTGTGTCTCGGGATGTGTCAAGTGAAGGGGAAGAGTAGACTCATTTGTGGTGAAGGAGTTGAGCGGGACTCCTCTCGGGTCGGGGGTCCTGAAGGGGGAACCGGGGGAGATGGAGAGACGGAAAATGCCAAAGGGAAAAGGTGGTTTGGGTTGTTTCACAGGCAGGAGGAGGAGAAATGAAGGGCGCACCTGGGGGGGCAGGGGTGCTGGCTTGGCAAGAAGGAGGGCAGAGGTGGGAGTTTGTCAACAGCGACCTGCCATCAAGGGGCGACCGGAGGAGATGGCGGAAGGCCCGGGGAGCACTGGGGAGAGGTAAGAGTGCGAAAGAAGCCCCCCGGGGAACACAGGGAGATGCCAGCAAGATCGCCAGGAGGCTTCCGAAGCAAGCCCGGAGCCAAGAGGCCTGAGTGTGTGGCGGTTGTCACCTGCAGAATTTTGTGACTTTTATCTAGAGCAGAGAATTAAAATGAAGAAAGTGGTCTGTATCCGTTTTCCCAGGTTGGGGATTTGCCGAAGTCTGGTGGAAGGTCCAGGGAATTAGGAGTTCTAGTTCCGTTTCTAAAGATGGGAGTGAGCTATCGGTCAGTGGGTGACATACAGGTCTGCACGTGGCCCCTGCCCAGTCGCCCTTAGGGTGATGAGCACCTGATGCCAGGGCTGGCATTTATCATTTGTGTACGAGCACTGCCCACTTACCAGGCAGTGCACCAGCAGGCCTGACACCGAGAGTGCTGCTTTTTTCATTCACACAAAGGTGCCATGTGTCAGGTACAAAGACTGATGGACTAGGGTCAGGGCCTTGGGGAGAACTGAGGGCTTGGATTTCAGAGTGAGAGGGAAAGGCTGGTCCAGCAGGGATGGGAAAGTGGTAGGAGGTAAGGCTATGTGGTCAGAGAAGTGAAGCTCAGATATTGAAGTCTTGGAAGTGAAACCATCTTGAACAATTCTGTCCGAGATGAGGCCATGATGGTGAGTGACTGAAATGAGTACAGATAAGAATCCTTGTCGAACTGAAATAACAGCTTTATGGAGCCGATTAGATGACCTTGAACACCAGGTGACTGACACTGGATGCTGGATGACTCAGGCCACAGTGGGACCTTCCTAGTGTTGGCAACAGCTATTCAACACATTCAACAAGTATTTATTGACTCCAAACTACATGCTTTAAATGCTTCGGATGTAGCAGTGCACGAAATGCTTAATTTTTATTTATTTATTTATTTATTTTTTTGCTGTACACGGGCCTCTCACTGCTGTGGCCTCTCCCGTTGCGGAGCACAGGCTCCGGACGCGCAGGCTCAGCGGCCATGGCTCACGGGCCCAGCGACTCCGCGGCATGTGGGATCTTCCCGGACCGGGGCACGAACCCGTGTCCCCTGCATCGGCAGGCGGACTCCCAACCACTGCGCCACCAGGGAAGCCCTAAATGCTTAATTTTTAAAAGGTAGTGGTTACTGGAGTCACAGGATGATCAGGAACAGAGTGGACTGACTCCACTGAAACGGGCCGGGCAGGACGGGGGCTGTGGGTGCAGCGGGCCCAGTGCCCCTGATGGGGAGTTGGTGGGGGGAGGAGCGAGCAGGGGGTTCCAGACTAAAACTCTTGTTGGCCCAGGTTCCGGTGACTTTTGTAGACATTGCTGTTTACTTCTCTGAGGACGAGTGGAAGAACCTGGATGAATGGCAGAAGGAGCTTTACAACAACCTGGTTAAGGAGAACTACAAAACCCTGATGTCCCTGGGTAAGGGCGCCTTCCCTCCCCTGTGGCGAGCACCTTGGGAGTGGGGAGTGAGATGCTTCTCGACCCATGGTGCACCACCCCCGGGCAAGGTGTTTCATGTTTATACATCACGGAAACTCAAGAAACGATTTGCTTGCCTGCTAGGAAGTTAGAATCACTGCAGGGCTGAACACTGTGGTCCCACCATTTTGGAATCACAGCCAAACGGCATCACTACGCGCAGACTCCCAGCAGCCTTGGATAAGCCACAGTCGCTCTGCTGCTGGCTTTCAGAGACCAGCAACTGGAGAACCTATTGACTTGTTTTCATAGTTCCTCGTAAGAGATTACCTGACATACTCACATAACGACCACCACCTAGAGGACTGCAGGGGTGGGGTGGGGGAGGGGAGAGCGCCACATCGCCCTTGATCGGGGCCCATTGATCAGCTTCACTCAGCCCTCCCTTCCCTTCCACCTCATTCCAGACTCGGAAGGTCCAGTGTCCAAGCCAGATGCTCCACCCCAGGCCGAGCCCCGGGAAGAGCCTTGTGTGTGGGAGCAGCGTGACCCCGAAGAGAGAGAAGTCCTGATGGATCCAGACACAGGTGATGGCAGCCGAAGACAGCCCTAGGTCCAGGGCAGGGTGGGAGAGAAGCACCGCCATCCCTGCATGAATTCCAGGCGGGCTTCTCCTGAGTTGTTCGTGGGGCCAGTTCTGCTGCCCTTGAAATTTGGCGGTCACCTACAGGAAGAGTTTCAGGGCCAGAAAGCGCACCACAGATGTTTGTCTTTTGGGTCAGAACCATGTAGCTCGAGATGCCCAGGTAAGCTGGAGAGAAGAGGAAGCAGCGGGGGGCGGGGGGGGGGGGGGTTTGCGCCTTGCAGCCTCCCAGGCCTGATGGGTGCCCTAGACCTGAGTGCAGCTCCAGCCTGGGGAGGTGGGCAGAGGAGGCTCTGCGTGGCGCACGTGGGGTGTGTGGCCGACTGCTTCGGGCCTGGCTGTCTCCTTCAGCGTCCTCACCCCGTTCTCACAGACGCCCCATCACAGGCAGACTTACCCTCCAAAGCTTTCCCCTCATTCAAGGGAGATCTTACGTTCTGAGGATCCAGTTCCCCGAGAACGTCACACCTGGTGATGGGAGGTGCGAGGCTTCTCGGGACCTCAGCTCTCCTGAGCACTGTTGGGCCAGGTGAAATCTGGTCCTTGAACTGTATTCTCTGCCTTCTCCCAGGAGCCTTCACCCGTTGGGGCCCTCTGCCCTTCCTCCCTTTTCAGTGGAGGGTGTATTCACCGAAACTTCCCTAGAAGGTGGCTCAAGGCGGCCCCCTCCCCCCATTCTGCTCTCTTTATTGAGATATAATTCGCATGCTGTAAATTCACTCTTGATGTGTATCATTCAGTCCACCAAGTTGTGCAGCCATCATCACTATCTAATTCCAGAACGTTTTCATCATAGGGAAGCCCACACCCATGAGCAGTCACTCCTGTTCTCTGTACCACCCCAGCCCCTGGTTGCTATGGATTTGCCTCTTCTGGACGTTTCGTCTAAATGGCTCCTTCCCTGTCTTAGGTACCACAAATGTTTGAGGTCAGCAGCTGTGGTAACCTTTCACAGTAAAGCAATGTAACCTCAACCGTTTCACTGAGTTATCATCCATCCCTGTGCCAGATAGAACAGGGACCACTGTGCCTTTTTATGGATGGACCGAGCAGACTGAGAGCCAGAGAGGGCAAGTGACTCATCCTCTGGGCTGGGGGCAGAGGTGAAACCAGGATCCGTGTCTTCCACTTCCTCATGTAGTCTCTTTCCTGCTGTCTCCTGTGGGGGCTAGTGTTATACATCACACCATACACCCTCATAAGAGGAACATGCCCCTGTGGTCATGTCACGGGGTCTGCATGGAAGATATGTTATTGTCTTTTATGCAAAAGGATGCTGTGCATTATCCATTCCAGGAATGGGACGGGGTTGCTTCCCTTTGCCCAGTCTAACTTCGTGTGTGTGTGTGTGTCTGTCTGTCTGTCTGGCCCACTCTTCCTGACTGGGGTGCAGAACAAGGACGAATGTCTCCCACATGGAGGGAGACCTATGGCCTGTCCTGATTAGCACCCACCCAGCGTGGGCTGTTTCTGGAACCCTCTCCCAGCCTTACCACACCTCATTTTGTGGCTTGGCCTACCCCCTTGTCCTGAATGTCCATTGCCTCTCTGCTCCCAGGACCTTCTGCTCCTGGGGGTTCCCCATAGTTGCCCAGAGAAACCCAAGACCCCTGTGCTCTTCCCTGGCCAGTGCTGTCAGCCATGCTCCTGACCCCGAGAATGTCCAACTGACGATCATTCATGAAAACGGCACCAAACAATGTGATTCTCTGTCCCCAGGAGCAGAGCCCCTGGTGCCTGCACAGGACACGTCCTCTCAGGTGAAGCGGGAGGAGGCCCTGTGTGCCCGGGGTCAGCGGGGCCTGGAGGAAAGAGCCATCCCCACAGAGTCCATTACCGGTGAGTGAGCTGACTGGCCGCCCAAGCCGGGTGGCAGAGGAAAGGTCCAACGTGGTCTGCAGGTGCCCAGCGTTGTCTGACGTGTGTGCCAGGCCAGAGGCCTGAGCTGAAAACGGAAGATTGTGGGTCCAGGATGGATGGAGAGACAGGGTTTCCCACAAGTCGCAGACCTGGCACATGACGTGGACGAGTTGCCAGCACGTCTGGGCTTAGCCGTTCTGTTTTCTCTTCTTTGTAATATCAGTTTTTAACTGTTCCTTTCTTCCCTTGGAAAGCAGTATCTGCAGAAGTACTGAGCGTGAGGTGTTTTACAGGTCCCGTGGGTGGGGGAATCTGTGGGTCCGTGAGACCTGCTCCCGACTGGTGGGAAGAGCTTTCGTTGTTTTAACCAAGCACTTACGGCTGCTGCCTCTGTGTCAGGCCCCGCACGGCCGCAGTCCTGTCAGGGGGTCTGGATAGCTCCTCTTGGACGGCATTCCGGCTGGACTTTGTACGTGAGATCTCTGTTAGAGAAGATATGTATTTATTAGCCAGAGTTCTGCAAACAGTCAACAGGGTGAGTGTGTGCGTGCATGTGTGTAGAGATATTGATTGAGTGATTGAATTTAAGGAGCTGGCTTCTGCCAACTGGAGCACCGGGGCAGTCTGCCGGCAGGATTCCCTTTTCCTCGGGATGTCAGTCTCTTGCCATTAAGGCCGTCAGGTGGTGGGACGGGGCCCACCCACGTTATGGAAGGCAGTCCACCTTACTCAAAGTCTTGTTGAACTCCTCAAAGCAGAAAAAACAACACAGAAATATCGAGAAGAATGTTTGGCCCAGTATCTGGGTACTGTGGTCTAGGCAAGTTGACACATAAAATTAACCGTCACAAGATATATTAACACACTGTAGCTCTTTACTTATCCACAGGTTAGAGCTCCACAAACCTCATCCCCCTTAGTCAAAGCCTCACACTCATAGGTAAGTGATAGCAGCCCCCAAGCAGAGGAAAGCCGCTTCCCAATTCATCTGGCCAGTTCCTCAGAGAGCATCACAGTGCTTCAAAGGGATCTTTAAGAGATAAGAAGGCAATAAAGGGTAAATGAGGTTTAATAGACTCTGCAGAGGAAAGAGGGTGTAGGATACATCTTAGAAAAAATCCCATTAAGATGGTTAAGATAAAAGGCTTCCTGGGGCTTCCCCGGTGGCTCAGCGGTTGAGAGTCTGCCTGCTGACGCAGGGGACACGGGTTCGTGCCCCTGTCCGGGAGGATCCTACATGCTGCGGAGCGGCTGGGCCCGTGAGCCATGGCCGCTGGGCCTGTGCGTCTGGAGCCTGTGCTCCACAATGGGAGAGGCCACAACGGTGAGAGGCCCACGTACCGCAAAAAAAAAAAAAAAGCCTGGAAGGTGTCATTTTCCTGGACGGTCCCTGCAGGAGGAAGACCTCCTTCCACGGTGTTGCTCAGGCCTCAGGCGTGAACCTCGGTTGAAGGAGTTAAGTTCCTGAAGGACAGGAAAGCTCTCTCGATGACATCACTGTTATGTCACCCCCCTGTAGTATCCACTTATTTGCGGCAAAAGCTCCAGCAACTGAGGCCAAGCTGACCTGAAGCTTTAATTAACTAGAATAATTACTGCTGATGGTTAGGGAAAAGAACTCATTGCATGACACGAGAGACCTAAAGCACCACCTTGCGGGCGTTTCCGTGTCCCCTGACACCTTTGCTGCTCTGTTCCCACAAGCAGACTCACCAGCTTCTGCCCAAGACCTCCTGTCCCGGATCAAACAGGAGGACCCCCCATGCGTGTGGGCTCAGCAGGAGTTGGCGGAGAGGGACATTCCAACGGACCCCAACTCAGGTGAGCGCGCCTTCGGGGCACGTGGAGATGACTTCTGTAACCGCCAGAAAATCTATCCGATGGAGTCACTTTGGTCAAAGGCCAGTGAAAGACTCAGGGGATAAACTACAGTGTGTTCCCCAGGTGGTGACTTTGTACACATTTGGGCATATAACTATTAGAAAAGTGGGGAGGATTTCTCTAAAGGAATCATCACACTGATAATTCGTGCTGTCAGTGAACTGATACTAACATGACTTCACTGATTTCTGAAATATAATTAAAAAGCCTTTTAAAAGTGGTATATATTTCTGTGACAGAAAGAAAGAAAGTAATTTTACTTTTCCTGGAGTCTTCCTTGAGTGAATAGTAGTTAGATGTCTCCCAGGAAACTTCTGGGGAAAGTCCAGGCATAAAGGGAAGCATAAAAGAACAATAGGGAAGCTCTGCCTGCCCAGGCCCCATGTGCGTGTGCACGTGGGCGTGTGTGCGCGTGTGCGCGTGTGTTCACGTATGCTTGCAGAGCTGGAGGAGGCCAGTGTCATCTTGTTTGCTGGTTGTGACCCCAAAGTCTCATGCAACCCCGCACACCAGGAAAAGAAGCAGCTGTAAAATCTAGGATTCCGTGTCGTTTGTCAACTCTACAGCTTCACGAGGGGGGAAGTTGAAGGGGTCCAGGGCAGAAGAGAAAGCAGTGCCCTCCCGACAGAGAGGCGGCAGTGTCCACTGCAGTTCCTATTAATGACCTTTGTCCACTGCTTCTGCCGTTGCCGATCTGGAAGGCCGACCTCTCCTCCCTTGGTCCTGTGGGCCGTCAGAGGCCAGGCTCCCCTCCGGCCTGGCCCCGCAGATGGCCCTGGGGCTCCGAGGACAGAGCCAGAAGACCTGGGTTCCGGTCCTGGCTCTGCCTCCACACAGCCTCCTCCCCGGCAGCAGGACCGGTGAGGTCCCATCTGGGGAGGCTGTTGACGGGGTGGGGACAGGGATACCCAAACAGCCACACGCCCTCTGAGCAGAGCAGCAGCCTCTGCACGTGGCGGTGTTCGAACTTCCGGTGGGATGCTCGGTGGAAAGGAACAGGCTCTAAGACTGCCTTCTCTCCCCGAACAGAGTCTCTGATCTCCGCACACGACATCTTGTCATGGATAAAGCAGGAAGAGCAGCCGTACCCATGGGGCCCTCGCGACTCCATGGAAGGAGAGCTCGGATTAGATTCTGGCCCCGGTGAGTGGTGCACCCAGCGGGGTCCCTGGGTGTTTTGTCCACAGGGATGGTTGCTCACCCAGCCTAGCCCCTTATAGGGTGATGTTCTGTCGTGGCGGCCTTTTGAAGGCCTGTATCAAAGCACTGTCCCCTTTCCTTCTGGAGGATGGCAGGTATGTTAGCTTCCTAGGGCTGTCCTGACAAAAATACCCAACTGGGTGGCCTAAAACAGCAGAAATGTATTCTCTCATAGTTCTGGAGGCCTGGAGTCTGAAATCGAAGGGTCGGCACGGCCATGCTCCCTCTGAAAGCTGTAGGGGAGCCCTGCCTTGCCTCTGCCTAGCTTCTGTGTTTGTTGGTGATCTTTGGTGTTCCTTGGTCTGTGGATGTGTCACCCCAATCTTCTGTCTTCACACGTTCTGTGTCTTATAAGGTCACGAGTCACATTGGATCAGGGGCCTGCCCTCCTCCAGTATGACCTCATCTTAACTACACCTGGAAAGGTCGTATTTCCAACTAAGGTCACATTCTGAAGTACTTGGGGGGTCCAGATTTTGATGTTACCTTTTGCGGGGATGTAATTCGACCCATCGCAACAGGGAAAGGCGAGCAGGCTGGGAGCGAGCTGAGGCAGTGGTATCACCAGCAGGTGGTGGCGGCAGGTGGCTCACACACTAGGAGACACTCACCAGAGCACCCAAGGCAGCTGACCTCCCAGAGTAACTGGGAAGATCCTGAAGCTCAAATAGGAAGAGGGGATTTTTTTCTGCCGACAATTATGAGGCCAAATACCTCCCCTGACTTGGGTCTCTTGGGTCTTTCTGGAAGCCCCCTTACTGGCTGAGGACCTCTGGCATGTGTTGGTGGGTTAGGTAACGCATAGCATCAGGCTCACATTCCTTGCCAGGGCCAGTACCACTGAAACAGCTGGCTGAATGTCCTCTGGGTGATTGGGGTGGTGAAGGGACAGTTAATCATACGTCCCTTGCTCACGTTCCTGACACCCTCTAAGAGCTCGAAATCCATGTCAGAGCTGAGGACATGGGTTATTTCTGAATCTGAAGGGACATTTAAAACCCAGGTGAGCGGGTCTCACTCTCTGTGAGACAGACTCAGTTCAGTCTGGAAGAGCAGAGTGGGGCCGGAGGAATGGGCAGGGGAGGGCAGAGGAACAGTGCACATCCTTGTCTAAAACAGAATTTCAGTTGTCCTCTTTCTAACCTGCTGGTGGGGTGGGATGTGACAGGGACATCGGGGGGACTGCCTGTGAGGGCAGGAAGAAGTGATAGCGGTTGATGCTACCCCATCCTCTGCAGCACTCAGGCCACCATTTCTAGCCCTGGCCCTGAAGGCAGGGGTACCAGATCATCAAACATAGTGCCAGGAGGCTCCGCCCAAATCTTTGTCCCTCGGCGCTGCCTTCCGATTTCTCCAACTTGGCTAAGAGTGTGTGAGCTTCAAGGAGGCTTTTCCTGGGACCTGCGTGGTTGTGAAAACAGCGTGAGAAACTCGTGCAGAAATCGCCAGGCTTTGCAAATTACCAAGACGCTTTCCTTCTCCACTTCGATGCTGAGCGGCCCGTAGAACAGTTTGCCTCGTGCTGTTTTGTCTCTGGGAGGCCTTAGAAAGTTTGCATCTGGGAAGAAAGGCCCAGAGTTGGGAGAGAGGGGTATCTGGAAACGCTTCTCCTGCCCGCCCAGTCACTAGAGCCTCGTATCAGAGCCTCTTGTCTTTCTCCCAGAATGAACCTGCCTTCCGCTCATGAATGTTGGGATGTGAAATTAGTATCTCACCTGTGATTTCTTTGAGGTTTAAAACCCACCTAGTGCTGTGGTTGCCAAGGACCACCAGGTGGACTTTTGGTAAGACATGGCATCATGTGGTAGTCTTCTGGAGGGGGCTTGGAAGGGGAGAGGGGGCAGGGCTAGAGAGTACAACACAGAAATACATACATGTTCACGCCAACCCCCTTCCCTGGCCCTGCCATAAACAAGAGAGAAAGACCTGGTGTCCTGCTTAACTCAAAGTCAGACGTCAGCCTAACCGGACATGACCTTTTAGTAAAAAGGATTCCTGGCTTTATATATTAATGAGTGGGTATTACTCTCTGCTCTCTGACAGTTAGTGTAAGACAGGAAAAAAGTCTGGTTCACTCAGAAGTAACGTGCATGGGGCTCCACTGAAGCAGGAAGTGTGAATAGGGGTTTGGAGTTCAGTGGCTACTGGGTGCTTCTGGAGAGAGTGGGGAGCCTCAGGCCAGACCACCCTACCCGGACGCCAGCACTCAAAACACACTCGCAAGTCACAGGATACGATTTGAAAACAGCCTCCTGAAATTCCCACGTACTGCCTTGGGTTAAAACTGGTTAAAACAGTGATTCCAGCCTTTTTTAGTCTCTGTTACTTAACAAGTATTTACCTCGTGCCTGCTCTATGCTACGCAGTACTACAGGCACTTGGAATAAGTGGTGAAGAAGGGCCAGGGGCCTTTCCTTTTGTGGGACGGTGATGAACAGTAATCAGGCAAACAAGATAAACTCGGGGTGGTAAACGCTCTGAGGGTGACGACTCGGAGAAAACAGCGGGCCGGGAGTCGGGGCAGGAAAGGAAGAAGCACTTGAGCGTGTCCAGATCACGAGAAGGAGCTGACCACGGGGCTGCTGGGGAAGGGAAGGCCATAAGGAAGGCCATCTGGGGAAGGAGGTTGGAGCAATAGACAAGGAGGAGTCTGACCACGTATGACCTATGGGCCAGGTTAGCGTCTGGATTTTATTCTAATATGAAAGGAGACTAACAGAGGGTTTGAAACACAGTGGTGACGTGATCTGGTTTACATTTTTAAAACGTACGTTTGGGAATTGACTGGAGTCAGGTGGGGAGAAAGAGCCAGAAGCAGGGAAACCATGTAGGAGCTAATGTAGTGGGTAGAGACCAGGTCAAGAGGTGATGGTTGGAAATATAACTGATAGATTGTCTGTGGTGGATGAGGAGACAAGAGTGACTCCTAGGTTTTGATCCGGAAACACTGGGCGAATGGTGGTGCTGTTTGCTGAAATGGTGAGTCCTGGAAAAGCAGCAGGTTAGCTGTGTAAATTAGGTGTCCTCCTCTGGGCCCGTTCAACTTGAGATGACATCCAGGTAGCAATGCCAAGTAGACAGATGAACATAGGAGTCTGAAGTTGGAGAGCCTGGGGCTAGATTGATTGGGGAGTTACAGGTTGCAAGGACTTCTGACACCAACCACCTGGAATTAGGCCAGACTTCACAGGTGAGGCACCTCGTTCTCCACGTGACTGCTCTCACCTTACACAGCAGCTGCAAGTTCGAGGGTCCCCAGACCACCCGCACTTCTGACCAGCTGGCTGCAAATTCAGGGGTCTCCATTAACGCCTCAGGTGCAGTAATTCCCTAGAACAACTCACAGAACTCAGGAAAGTGCTACGCTTACAATTAGTTTTATTAGAGCAAGAGGATGGATTCAAATCAGAACCAGCTGAAAGGGGAGATCCGCAGGACCAGATCTGGGAGGGTCCTAAGCATGAAGCTTCTGTTGTCTACTCCCTGTGGAGTCGGGAGTGTCCTGCTCCCCGCACAGCGATGAGTGACAGTATTGCCTACCAGAGAACCGCACTGGAGCCTCTGTGTCCAGAGTTTTTACTGGGATTTCTTTACATACGTACAATTGATTGAATATTCAAACTGCTTTAAAGAATAAAGACATTTATTCTCTTATGTAACTAAGAGGTAGTCCAGTTTTAGCCTTGGTTGGTTCAAGGATGCAGCTATATTATCAAGGACCCAGGTTCTGTCCAACTGCTTGTTCGCTCATCCTTGGTGTGGATGGAGCAAGTTGGCCACACCTGTTCCAAGTATCACCTCCAGACCCAGAGGGAAAGGAAAGGCCGTCTTTTTGCCTGCACTGTCTCCAAGGAGTGAGGATGCTTTCCCAGAAGCCTCCCAGCAAACACATCTCATCGGCCAGAACAAGGTCCCGTGCTTGTATCTGAATCAGTTACTGGCCAGTGAGTTCTAGAGTTAAAGTCCTCATGTTAGAGGTGGGAGGAGAAGGTGTGACGTAATCCCCACGGAGAGTGGAAAACTGGGGCATGCTGGGTCATGGGGTAGGATGCCAGGGTTTGAGGTGTGTGATCTTCTCCAGCAGCCTTCAGCTACTTGAGTGCTGTCACTGCATTGGGGTCCCCCAGGCAAGCCCAACAGAGGAGAGAGGGGCAGAGGGACCACAGGAGCTAGGCTGGGTCAGGAAGGGAGAACAGAGGCGGGGGCGGGAGTGGTCCGGTGCTCACTCCGAGCTTGAAGAATGATCAGAGTGGGATTAGGATTGTTCGGGGTTGGGTTTCCTGGGAAACAGCCCCTGAGATGGAGGTTTACGTACACGTGGTTTCCTTGGGGGTCCTCTTGGGAATAACACCCACGAAGGAGGGAGAGTAGCCAATCGGGTAGAGGGAGAAGCAAGGCCCACAGTGCAGCTGTGACGGAGGCCGCAGCCAAACCTGCAGGATTGACGGCATGACATCCTGGATTGAGGCTAGGAGAGTTACAGTGGCCCCTGCCCCTGGCCAGTGTCCTACGGAAATGGTTCTCTGCCTGGTCAGTGTTGGTTGGGATAGAGGGGGGCAGGCTGGGCCCAGTCTGTCTAGGAGTGTCACATAAGGAACACATGTCACAGGGAGGGGGCTCCTGCAGGAAGAAAGGACTGTGAACTGGGGATCGGGGAGGTGATGGAGGGTGAAGGAAAGAGAAGACTCCTAAATACAGTCAGCAAACCCAGTAGTGCCTTGGAAGTCGGAGTCCTGGGCCTCAGATCGCTGCTCCGATGCCCAGAGCCTGGGCTTTGTGCCCCACTACCCCCAAGGTCGTGTGGAACCATGAACCCTGGAGACTCAGGGGTGCAGGAAAGGGCACCATCGCAGGAGCGAGACAGGCGCTTCCTGGGGAGGCTGGCTGGGCAGCCACTTCCACAGGAGGATGAGGAGAGCGCCAGTCACGTGTGGTCCGCGGCCAGGTGGGGTCAGGCGCCAGGTGGGACTCATATCAACCCAGCTGACCCCGCCGCAGTACAAGGCCGAAGGCTGCCTGCTTAGTGGAGACATAACTGCAAATCGCAGGGTGGCTGTGCGCCCGGGCCCCTGCATTCCCCTCCTATAGGCCTTCAGACGGGTTTTTCACCTGGGATAGGTTCTGGCAGACTCTCTCCCTCCAGTCGAGAGATTCTCCGTAGGTAAATTAGCACTGAACATCAGAATACGATTAAGTCTTATTATTTCCAGGCGATTCCGCCTTCTAAGGGGACTTGTGCAGAGCACCGCTCCTCTGCCCGCCGGCTCCCGGCATCTGGGGGTGTTTCCTATCCTAACTGCGTACCACCTGCCTGACCCGCTTCAGGTGCTCTCCAGGAGCTGGTGGCTCTGTGCCGCTGCGAGGGTTGGGGAACCCTCGAGCACAGGGAACTTGACCATTTGCCTTGTTCAATCCCCTCATCCTTTAGAGAAGCTGAGGCCCGGCTAGCCTGTGACTCGCAGGAAGCCGCAGAGGAACTAGTCAAGGCCCGGGGCGCCCCTGCAGGGACGGCGTGAGTCCCGGACCGAGCAGTGTCAGCATGTCGCTTCTTCGTGTCTCCCCCCCAGGTGACAGCCTGCTGATGGTGAAGAACCCGCCCCCGGCCCCGCCGCAGCCCCCGCCCGCCCCGCAGAGCCTGCCCCCGCTGCCGGCGCCCCCCGAGGACGCGGGCGGCCCCCCGAGCCGCGGCGGGGGCGCGCTGCTGGACGACGGCTTCCCCGCGCTGCCCGGGGAGCGGGGCGCGGGCGGGGCGCAGGCGGGCGGCCAGGCCGGGGCGGCGGGGCCGCGGGGGGCGCGGGCGCGGGCGCGGGCGCGGGCGGGGGCTGCGGCAGCTGCTGCCCGGGCGGCCTCCGCCGGAGCCTCCTCCTGCACGGCGCGCGCAGCAAGCCCTACTCGTGCCCGGAGTGCGGCAAGAGCTTCGGTGTGCGCAAGAGCCTCATCATCCACCACCGTAGCCACACCAAGGAGCGGCCGTACGAGTGCGCCGAGTGCGAGAAGAGCTTCAACTGCCACTCGGGCCTCATCCGCCACCAGATGACGCACCGCGGCGAGCGGCCCTACAAGTGCTCCGAGTGCGAGAAGACCTACAGCCGCAAGGAGCACCTGCAGAACCACCAGCGGCTGCACACGGGCGAGCGGCCCTTCCAGTGCGCGCTGTGCGGCAAGAGCTTCATCCGCAAGCAGAACCTGCTCAAGCACCAGCGCATCCACACCGGCGAGCGGCCCTACACGTGCGGCGAGTGCGGCAAGAGCTTCCGCTACAAGGAGTCGCTCAAGGACCACCTGCGCGTGCACAGCGGCGGCGGACCGGGCCTCGGCGCCCAGCGGCCCCTCCAGGCGCCGCCAGAGCGAGACTAGGGCTGGGCCGGGGGAGGGAAGGGCCCGGCGGCAGGAGCAGGGGGCGGGGGCGAGCCTGGGGGCGTCCTGAGGCCCCACCATCCGATCCTGCCCTTGGTTCTCGGGGCGCCTTCCCTCCCTCTACCCGCCACCTGCTGGAAGTCGGGAACAGGAATTGCACTCCAGATGGGGTCCCCTGAGTGTGGGGCAGGGGTCCCCTAGACCTGTCCGGCCTGAATGGACAGCCCAGCTCTTCTCATAGGGTGGACCAAGGGGGCCGGCGCAGGGAAGGTGCCGGAAGGACAGCGGCTAGGTCCCTCTTCCGGCACCCCCCCTCAGACACCTAGCGTGCCCATTGGGCCTCTGGGGTCACAGATTGTGATCAGGGGAAACCACCCGGGAGTCTCGGAACCCTTCTGGGATAAAGAAATAGGTCCTAAAGTTAAGAGACCCTAAAAAAGGAAGCGAAGGTGTCCTGGTGAGAGGAGGGACGTGCTAAGGGATGGATCTCCGTGATGACAACACTGCCTCGCGTTTGAATAGCGCTTTATACTTTTTTAAACACGTTTTCTATCCGTTATCTATTTTCACCCTTAGCCTATCCCTCTGAGGTACGTGGGGTAGGATTTTCCTGACTTGATAGCTGAGGAAAGTGAGACACAGGTGAGATGGTTTGCCCGAGATCACACAGAAGAGAGTGGCAGGGCTGGGACCAGAGCCCTGCCCCCAGCGCAGTGTCCCCACCACACACACTGCCTACCTCTGGCATGTGAGAGACCTCTCTGGCCTGGTCTCTCTCCTCTCTCTTTCCCCTGACCCACCAAAAATAATCAGAAGCAACAGGGGCCAACTCATGGGGTTACTGGGAATGGGGAATAGATTGACTAGAAAATGCCCGGGGTTGTGCTTCCAGAAGGTTCTTCCTGTGTGGGCACTGCTGGGCGGGACGGAGGGCCCCCGGCCCCCAGCCTGTCCCTCCCACCTCCACTCCCTCTACCTGGTGCAGCAGCATCTTTCCACTGCACAGCAGTGACCTGGCCCTCCAGAGGCAGCTAGCACCCTGGCTCAGACCTCATCCTGATGATTTATTCGTTTCCCAGGGCACAGGGGTGAGGGAGAGGCTCTTGCTGCAACAGCAGCCATCGAGGAAGTGAGTCTCTTCCCAGGAGGGCCGGGGCCAGTAGGTGCTAGTGTCTGAGAGCCTCAGTCTCTCTCCTGCCCTGAGCCTCCCAACTGGTGCTGTCTGTTAACCGACCATGCTCGTGGACATGGACACAGACCCTCCTCTGCTCCAGACCCTGCAGGCGCCTCGGGAGGCGCCCAGAGGACTCCCCGTGTCAGTACATCTGCTCTGTGGTCCTGATGGGCCACAGCCTCCCTATCTGCGTCTTGCATGGCCAGGCACTGGGGTGGGGTGGCACGCCCCAGGACCCTTGTTTGTGTCAAGAATGACTTCCGCTCCTGCCATCGATCCCACTTCTCTCCCAGCTGGGGAGCACGTGTGTGAGCGCTCTGCTTCTGCCCTTCCCCTCATCTGTGCCGCTCTGCTTTCCTCAGACCCCTTTTTGCCGTGCAAAGGGAATTCTTGAAATTAAATAAAAGGTGTCCAGATTGCAGACTGCATGTTCACAAGGCTGGAGGGCTCTCCAGCGAGGCTTCGTACAGTAAACCCTCAATGAACTGGAATCCAGCTAACTGGGATTTTTCCCCCCTTCATTCTGCTTTTTGAAGGAGGCAAATCTTAAGAAAATGAGAAGTTAAATATAGACAAGCTCAATGGAGTTCTGTTGGAGCAGAAGGGGACCCTCTAGTCCATTGTACTGGTTGGGAGGCAGCAGTATTCTGCTTTTCAAAAGCACGTGGAGAAAATCAACATTTTCATAAACTAAATCATGGGAAGTAAGGCCAACAGGGTTGTTTGTTTGTTTGTTGCTTCTTTGGGCTGTTAAGAGTATGAAGGAGGGGGAGAAATCCCTACTGAGACATGGGTTTGAAACATTTGAGCCCATAGCTCGAGTCTGTCCCTTTATTTTACCTTTGAGGAGCTGATTCCCAAAGAGGTTTAGTGACGGATGAGTGAGAGAGCCAAGGCCAAGTTTCTGGTTTCTCGCGTCCTAGCCTGGTGGACCCCACGCACCAAGTGCCCCTCGGTTATGCCACAAGTCAACCCAGCCTCCAGCACCAGCCCCTGGGGGAGTCCTAGAGTGAGCTCTAACGCCCCCCCCCCCCCCGGAGCTGAGCAAAGGTGGTGACACTCAGTGTGGACCTCCCCCAGGCAGCGAGGATCCTCAGTGTGGACCCTGCAGTCCACTTACCGAAGCAGGACGGCGCTCCTACTTTGGGGGTGGATTTTTATTTTCCTCCCGATAATGTGTTAATTAAAAGTATTTTAATTAAAAGATTAATGCATGCAGTAAAAATCGGTTTAAAAAATAATGAAGAGTAAAACTCTTTCCTACCAGATTCCTGTTGAGAAGCATCCACTGCTAAGAGCTTATATGTCCTTTAGACCTGGAGGAGTCGGGGCTTAAAGGATGCATTGAATGCAGCAGGGGAAGGAGGGAGAGGCAAAGTGGGATGAGGATGGAACATGTCGGGGAGGCAGGAACTGGGGCAGTAAGGCCGGAGACTGGCCTGGCTAGAGCCGGGGTGTATAAAGTTGTAGGTGATGTAGATGCAAGGTGAGTCGTGACCGGGCCATGGAGGGCCTTCAGTGCCAAGACTCTTCCACAGACGGGCTGCCAGTTAGCCTGCGATCTGCTCTGCCACAGACACCCTCATCCCCCCCTTAGAACTCCTTAGAAACAGTGCATAGCTTCCTCAGAGAGGAAGTCTTGAGACGGCAGGTTTAAGCTAGATGCCACTGAAAATGAAGAGCCACAGGTGGACAAAGTTATCTCACCATCAAGGATTTGGGCGCTATAACTGGCTCTCTGATCTCTGGTCCCGGAATATTGGGTGATGGCAGAGGGTAAAGGAAAAATGAGTAAACACACCAGGTGCAAGATGAACCAGCCTGTGTCCGTGTTTTACAGTGTTGGCCCATCGGTTTGTTACTGTTAGAAAAACATGTAACAGCATTTTATCATCCTGGGACCCTAATAGTTTGGGGGAGGCCATGGCCGTCATTCCATCCAACACTGACTCGCTAGGGAGCCATCATGGAGGGACATCTCTAAAATGGTTATTCTTGAGAAGAGGGGCCCTGATATAAGAATCTTACATCCCCCTACCCCGTCCAGCGAGGTTCCCGTAGGTCTATAAATCTAGTGAGATGCTGGCAGTGTGTGCTAAAGGCTGAGAACCTCTGCTCAAACCTCCTTAGACATATTTTAAACCCATATCATTCCTCAGCATTCTAATCGCTATAGGCTTACTATGTCCTATTATAAAAGAAGACTCCCATTTAAGAGTACAGGGAGGGACTTCCCTGGTGGCGCAGTGGTTAAGAATCCACCTGCCAATGCAGGGGACAGGGGGTCGAGCCCTGGTTCGGAAAGATCCCACATGCCGCGGAGCAACTAAGCCCGTGCGCCACAACTACTGAGCCTGCGCCTTAGAGCCCACGAGCCACAACTACTGAGCCTGCGTGCTCCTAGAGCCCGTGCTCCACAACAAGAGAAACCACCGCAATGAGAAGCCCGCGCACCGCAACGAAGAGTACACCCCGCTCTCCGCAACTAGAGAAAGCCCACGCGCAGCAGCAAAGACCGAACACAGCCAAAATAAATAAATTTATTAAAAAAAATTTTTTTTTAAATAGTCGGGAGAGAGCCTATATCCAGTCTTAGAAGCGTAAGCCAGCGTTGTTTACCCGGATGTCCCCACACCTTCCGTCCCAATGGGATCGATATCCTTTAATGGTTAAAGGGGCTTGAGTCCCCAGCACATAGTGTCAAAACCAGCAGCCCTGCCCCCCATCTCAAGGATCTGGGCGTGAGGAGAGGTTTGTTTTCCTTAGTTACTGCGCGCTTTCTGGATTCCCCAATTCACATATATCTTCCTTCACACTGCCGGTCTTGCCTGTCAGCTCTGCGTTAACCCAGACGGTGGAGCTCTGTGCCCTTCCTTTGCCTTTCCCAGGTAAGACACTTACGCGTAGTAGACTTTTATAGTTTGAAGTTCATAAGGGTCTCATCTCAGCCTAGCGCAGGACCTTGCCAACCTCTGAAGAGTAGCTCCCCTTCCCCTTCTCCGGTCGCTCACTCCCCAGGGAAACTCCCCAATCCCAATTTACTCTGGAGAGCAATTTAGTTTTATCTTTGCCCACCTTCTGCCTTCCAAGCCCTGCCCTGCCCAGGAGCCTATTTTCCCACGATTAAAATGGCCAATAAAACTCTTTTGCTAAACAAAACACTTTTCTCTCCCTAAAAGGAACTCTGCACTAGTTTTTTTTCTTTTTTTTTAAAAATCCCGTTTCTTGTTTGTTTGGGTTTTTTTGGCCGTGCTGTGTGGCGTGTGGGATCCTAGTTCGCAGACCAGGGGTCGAACCCACGCCCCTTGCAGTGGAAGCGCCGAGTCTTAACCACTGGACCACCAGGAAATTCCCATCTGCACAAGTCTGGTACATTCAAAATGGGTAAAAGGATGTGCAGTAAAAAATCTCCTTGTCACCCAGACACCCAGTTCCCCTACCTGAGGCTGACTGGCCAACCACGAAGAAAGGGGAAGTTTCTGGAAGGAACCTGGAATCATTCACAGACTCAAAGGAACATTTGAATAACCAATCCTGGACAGAGACAAAAATGTGTCATCTCTGCTCCTTTCTGTGTGTTGGGATCATTCTTTCAAATTAACTTACTCCAAAAAAAACGGGGGACAAAACTATTCCTGACTCACATCTACAGCTTCACCAGACAGAAAATTAACCTGTTCCCTCAGCTCCAGTAGAAGAATCCAAGGGATGAGCTTAAGTCATATGCCCACCACTGGCTCAACTACTGTGGCCAGGAGGCTGGGGTGCTATGATTGGGCTGGCTTGAGTCAGATGCCTGCTTTTCAGTCATTGTGACCAGGCTGGAATTGTCACAGAACAAGATGGCAGCATCCATTTGAATTACACGGCTAGAGCCCAGAAAGAGCCATCCCCAAAGGGAAGGAGGTATATATATGCCCAGAGGAAGGGAGAAGTGCTAGGCTGACAAGGTTAACAGGTACCTACTACATACGTATAGTGGGGTTCGGGGGTCAGCTTGAGCCAAGGAGTGTTCATTCTGGGGTTCTCACTGACCCAGAAGCTGAGTGGAATATGCTCCCCAGGGGGTTATTGATGGGAGAGGAGCACAAAAGACATGGTCCCAGACATCTAGAGACTTGCAGGGTAGTAAGGGGAACAGACTAGAAAGGGTCTCAAAGCTGTGGTCTATAAACGTTCTTGAGTTAAAAAAAATGTTTGGGCATACATATATGTACATAAATGTGTTAATATGTATGCTATAAATCATATGATAGAAAATTAAAGGGACAAGATAAATATTTTACAGCATTATTAAACTTTATATTACTTGTGATTCAAAGAATACTTTTTTCTGTCACTGAAAATGAGGGTTCGGGTAAGATGATGTCTAAGCTTGCTCTCAGCTCTGCATGTTACGTTCATAGTGTACAGATGTGGAGATGACAGGATACAAGTACTAAGAGTATATTTCCTTCATTCCTCTAATACCACTGCCACCAATGGGAATAACTGTGAACTGCATTTAAGTTTATTTAAAGGCATGTGTCAAGATCTGAGTGTCATTGGCCAAGGACAAGTGGGTGGCATCTAAGAGATGCAACAAGGTGACATTTATCTTGGTGAATTCATTGCAGTTCAAGGCTTGGACCTTGCCAAAGCCAAAACAAACCAAAATGAGAAATTGCTTGTTACCGAGGGCTTGCTATGTGTTAGGCGTTCAGCTGCACAAGCACCTTACTTCCATGTGTTATCTTGCAATGAGTAATAGGGATCGGAAGTGCTTCTTGAGCTCCTAACCTGTGACAGGCACTGTCCTAAGCACTTGATTTGAACTAACTCATGTAATCTGCACAATAACTCTATGAGATACGTGCTACTATGATCCCTCACTAAGAATGAGGTCATGGAGGTGCTGATAAGTTCATGACTTGCCCAAGGCCCACATCTAGTAAGTGGCAGTGCTGGGCTAGGGACCCAGATGCTCTCACTCCTCATCCCACTTTCTAATCACTGCACCATCTCTGCAAGCCCGTGAGGCTGCAAACCAGCACCTGGTGCTACCTCCCTTGCACATTGGGAATTTGATCTAAATATTTTCCCAGAGTTCCAGGCAGGGATGCTAAATCATGCTGACTCTCAGAGACTGACAGATAAGGCAGAGAATCAGTTTAATAATTTCCAGGGGTGGTCTGGACATTTGCATCCGTCTGACCTGCATGTTGTCTCCCAGAAGCTACACGGGAACCTGCATCATCAGAAGTTTGCCTGGTGGACATAGAAACAGAATAGAGAGTGTGGGTTCTATAACTGAACCGTTTAATCCTTTGTCCTGATATGTCTGCCTCCACAATCATGATACTTTTTTTTTTTTCTGTATCTGACAGTAAGTTTTTGTTGGCCTGAGACATATCTCCAAGGCTGACTAATTTGGCCTGAGACATATCTCCAAGGCTGACTAATTTTCTCAGCCTGTCCCATTTTTTCTTTAGGTGTATTAATGATTCAACCAATCCCCTGTCAGTCTGGTTGCCCTGGACATCATGCCTTCTCTTGGGGCTGACTTTTCCTATCCTTACCTTCTGATTCACCATTCAATCATCCAAAAATATTCATGAGCATTTCTGTGTACAAGAAATGGAGGATAACAGTGGAGATATTTTAGTGAAACATAATTACTATGCAAACTAATGAAAAAAATGAGGCTATTTCAGATAGTGATAAATGCTATGAAAAATTTCGAGCAGGATAACAGGATTGAGTGTTGCGATGGAGGAGGGTGTTGGGCTGTAGACAGGGTGGACAGGGAATGTCTCTCGGAGGAGGTAAAGTCTGAACTGAGCCCTGCATACTAAGAAGGAGCCAGTCACGTGAACATACTTTCCTGTTGATCTTAAGAGTTTAGCTCTCAGGGGAATTGCTTCATGCCTATCATTCGAAGTGGAAATTCATCGCCTGTCTCTATAGGGAAAATGTGGCACAAATTACATAATTACGTTGCATTAGTGTTGTGTGTTGCGTACTCAAATGGTAAGATAACCATGCTTTTCAATCCAAAACGCAGAATGCATGGTTTAACGTGTAGCGTGTGGGCTGGGTATGAAATCAGGGCTATCTTGGATTTTCCAAGGCATGATTACCATCATTGATAAGCTTCAGGGGGTTGGCCTGGGCACCTAACCCACTGCTGATATGAGAAGTGTATTTCTAGTTTCTAAAAAGTGAAATAGCAGGTGTACTTTTGGAATAAAACTGCTTGCCATTTGGGACCGTATCTCTTTTCCCCAACCAGATTACACGTTCTTCCCTCAGAGCAAACTATGATTTTTATACTTTTTTGAATCCCTCAGAGCACCTACCAGAGTGCTGGGTACGTAGAAGACACAAAAAGGTCCATGGGTTTGCCTTAAATTCCGAACATGCACTTGACTGGGAAGCACCGAGTCCTTTTGTCCCTCTCGGGCTCGGAGTGCCGAGGTGCTGTTTACCCTCCTGCCGCATGGGGGCGCAAAGGGAATGCCGCGCGGTGAGGAGGAGCGGCTGGCGCCGGTATTGGCCCGGGAGGGCCGAACTCCCATAATGCACCTTGTATCAACACGGCGCTGGGGGCAGCTTCGAGGAGGTGCCGCGGGCGCCCAGCGGACCCGCACGCACCCCGAGGCGTATCAGGGGGGGCCCGGGTGTTGGGGGGCGACTGGCAGCCATGGCGGAGTCGGCGCCTGCTCGGGTAAGAGTCCTCCTGGCGCGGACCCGAGGGCGCGTTCGGGACGGCGGAGCCCCGGCCGGGGCGGGGCTTCGAGGTGCGGGGCTGGGCGGCCGTGGTCCGCAGCTGGCGTGGGTCAACGCCGACCTCCCCGCGCAACCCCAGAGTTCTGCCCTCCCCTTGTCGGTTTCCTCCGCGTCGGGCCACAGCCCCAGTGCCACGCGCCTTCGCCGAGAAACTTCTCGGAGGTTTGTTTCATGTTCTTGCATTTGCTACCGTCCCTACACGTTTTTGTCCCGCCCTAAGAGAGCCCGTTTCCAGGCTGGCGAGGGGAATTGGAGCGGATTGGAAACCCTGGGTCCCCGTCACTGCCAGTGAACTTGCCCGGTGCTTCGGGGACCCCAGGACTCTGCCTCTCTGCGACCAGCTCGTTCTCGGGCTGATGGGTTTCCCTCGTTTCTTCTGCCGTGCTCTCCTGCTACAGACTCTGCCCTGGGTTGCAGCCGCAGGTTGAATTCAGGTTGGGCTTCCTCTCCTTGGGACAGGTGTTATCTCACT